CAGTTTACTGTCTAATAGGGGGACGAGCTATTCTTATGCAGAGTTATACAAGATTTAACCACGAGTGCGTAAGTGCAGGAGCCAGCAGAGGGTCAGTGTGACTTGGAGTGTAAAGAAGGGAGCCGTTCCTTGAAGCATGGAGGGAATCAGCTGCAGGGGGAAAGGCTTGTTTGCATGCAGAAGGAACTGAGCAAGAAGAGGTGCACGGGCTGGGAAGCCCAGTTACGTCAGAAACAATCAGGGCTGCCTGATGGGGTCCTGCTGTGATGGGCTGTGGGCCCATCTGGAAGGTTGCATCACCCAGGGCTCCAGAGGTATGTGAGACAGCTGTAGTGCTGTCAGAAGGCATGAAGCTCACTGGCAGCCCCTTTTATTTGGCTGAGCCTTTAGTGTAGACACTGCCATGCCCAGAGGCTCTTGGTGGATGCCAGATGGGCTCTGTTATCCCACCTTTATAGCTGGAGAAAGTGAGTCTTCCACAGGCAGCAAACCTTGACCCTAGATTACGCAGCCAGGTGGGAGTGGAGCTGGGGCTGCTCTCCTTGTTTGAGATTCCAAGTTGGGTGCCTCCCTCTTCGAATGGAGCACTTTCCAAGGTCTGTGTGAGGCTTGGAATCTCTCTATTGTCTTGGAAGCAGCAAGGTGAGTTGTCAGCAAGCATTGGAAATAAATGTCCCCTGTGGGGTGCTGGATTGCAACAACAACGTCATAGAGTGGATGAGAAGATGGAACATCTGGGATGTGCTTTAGATTAACCTAGGGAGAGAGGAGAGGGATGGGATGGGAATGGGGGGGGGCAGATGCAGCAGGATTGGACAGAATTGTTGAAGATGGCTAATGGATTAATGGGGGGTCCAACATACCATTCTCTCTCCTTTTATCTGTGTTTAAGAGGTTCTACAACAAAAAGGTACCCAGATTTCTATTGGCGACATCATTGTAGCCTCATCTCCACTTTCTTCTTTCCCCTGCCTGCCTTATAGATGCTGTGGCCCAAAGAGGAAGGTGGAGAGGATTGTTCTTAGGATTTGGAAAAGCCACTTCTGTTGTTTGAAAACCTTTGGACACTCTGTGTCCTTCTCAGGTGGCAGCTAGCAGGGTGTTTGGTCCAGAGAGCCACACACTTGTAATCAGCACTTAAAATAGCAGAACAGACCGTCTGATGCTCAGAAGGTGGCACAATGCCTGTGATCACTAGCCACGGTGTAGAGTATTTGCACCCTGATGTGTTGGTTCTCCCCAGCCACAGCCCCCATCTCTGAGGCCATTTATGTTGGAACAGGTGTTCCATGCAAAGGGCTGGTGTTGGCTGTGTGGTCAACAGCCCAGGGCACCCTCACCAGGGACCTGGGATCTGTATGGAAGTAACCCAGAGAGCTCCATAGGACACTGGGCTGACAGTGGCCCCCAGGAGGAAGTTGGGGGATGTTTAAACCAAGAAGGGGCTCTTGTAGCCCTCAAGGAAGCTCTCCATGGGCATCTCTGTGACTCCTGGGGGACTACATGGGTGACAAGAGGACGTTTCCATGTGTGGTGCCTGATGGACCTGCTCTGCCCCTCTTGGAGGGAACCCTAAGAGGGGAAGGCTTGGGCCCAGCTGTTTGTGATGCCCAAAGTGCGGTAGGGACCGTGAGCTCCTGGGATGCCTCTCGCCCTGATGTGCCACGTCGCTGCCCCTACACATCTCACCACTCCTCCCTATGCTGTCCATGGTGAGCTTCAAAACCACAAGGCCGTTGGCCTCCTCCCACTTCAGGCTTTGCTGGGTCTGGGCTGGAAGGAATGATCATGAGGATTCGAGGTCTCAGAACAGGAGACCCCTGGGGCTGTGGGGACTCATTGTGCTACAGAAATTCTGTCATCCCACCGCTTCAGAGAAATTTTTTTTTTTTTTTTTGACAGGCAGAGTGGATAGTGAGAGAGAGACAGAGAGACAGAGAGAAAGGTCTTCCTTTTTGCCGTTGGTTCACCCTCCAATGGCAGCCGTGGCTGGCGCACTGCGGCTGGCGCATCGCGCTGAACAGAAGCCAGGAGCCAGCTGCTTTTCCTGGTCTCCCATGCAGGTGCAGGGCCCAAGGACTTGGGGCATCCTCCACTGCACTCCTGGGCCACAGCAGAGAGCTGGCCTGGAAGAGGAGAAATTGGGACAGAATCCAGCGCCCCGACCGGGACTAGAACCCGGTGTGCCGGCGCCACTAGGTGGAGGATTATCCTAGTGAGCCGCGGTGCCGGCCTGAGAATTTTTATGTTCTGAAAAGTTGCCGTGATATGTTTAACCCAGTTTGGAGGCACATCCCTCAGTCTTTGCCTATTCCGGCTTGGCCATACGAGCTATGGATTTAGGATGCAAAATGTGGCCTCCCGGGAGCAGCACGTCTCGTCACGTCAGTCTGGCTCTGCTGGCTGCTGCCAGCTTTCCCCAGCTCTGACGCTCACCTGTGGGAAGGCAGCGCCGAGGGGTCTTTCTGCGGCCTGGCTGTCCTGGCCGCCCTTGCTGCTGATGGCACGGTAGCTGACTTTCATCGTGAGGCCCAAGGTGGGCAGTCAGGAAGACGACCCACTCAGCGGGATACCCATGGTCAGTGCGGTCACTCCTGGATGAGCCAGCAACCCTGGCTGAAGGGCCGGTGGTCTCGAGTATGCTGGGAGGAGGGGTCTTGGGCAGCACCAGCCTTCTTCTTGGCCCAGGCCAACAGCTGTGGCTTCCTGCCGTGTTTGGCCTTGGGTCTCTGGTTGTGGTGCATTTCAAGCAGTTGAATTGTTGGTTGACAGAGTGTCCTGGCTGATCTGGCTACTAGTAAGTGGACCAACCTTTACACTACGCCTGAACGTAAGAGGCCATTTACTGAGGTTGTTCAGGGCCGGTTTTGGGTGTGTATCCTGACCAGGACTAAGCACAGGGGATTGTCTGGCCTCTTAACCTCCTACTTCTTCACAGCCACAGGGGTGGGGGTGGGGTGGGGTCTCAGCCTCGTCTTTGAATTTCTTGCCTTTTCCCTGCTGCTCAGGTTGACAAGAGACCCCACCCTGGCTTGAGCATTTGTTATCTCTTCTCTGTGTCCTGGCCCTCAGCCACAGGCAGTTCTCCCTTCCTTCTCACCTTTGCTCCGCGGTTTTCCCGCCTGCACCACTCACAGTGCCCATAGTGTCCGAGTCCCAGCCAGAGGACGCCACCGCACCTGGTTTTCCCACCTACAAAATGAGATACATGATGATAACCTATATTTGCATGGCGCCTAAGATTTCAGGATTCTGTAAACTACATGGAAAAAATTAAGGATGAAAAGGGCATTCATTAAGTTTCTTAATAAAACTCTACCAAAAGTTGGTACTACAGACTGAGGGTTTTAATTTTTTTTAAAGATTTATTTATTTATTTGAAAGTCAGAGTTACACAGAAAGAAGAGAGGCAGAGAGAGAGAGAGAGATCTTCCATTCCATGATTCCCCAATTGGCTGTAACGGCCGGAACTGCGCCAATCCGAAGCCAGGAGCCAGAAGCTTCTTCCAGGTCTCCCACGTGGGTGCAGGGGCCCAAGGACTTGGGCCATCTTCTGCTTTCCCAGGCCATAGCAGAGAGCTGGATTGGAAGAGGAGCAGCCGGGACTAGAACCAGTGCCCATATGGGATGCTGGCGCTTCAGGCCAGGGCATTAACCCACTGAGCCACAGAGCCAGCCCTGGGTTTTAATTTTTTTTAAATCAACTTTATTGAGATATAACTCCCTGCTCAGTGCACTTTTATTAAAGGGATAGATCCCACAGAATCTCTTGGAAGATGTTACTGCCTTTTTTTTTTTTTTCGTGCCCATGAATTTCTTTTTTTAAATGATTTATATTTAAAGTTTTATTTGCTTATTGAGAGACAGTGGCAGGGGTGGAGTGGGGGCATGGACAGACAGACCTCCTGTCTACTGACTCACTCACCAAATGCCCATAATGGCTGAGGCTAGGCCGGGCTGAAGCCACAGCTGAGAACTCAGTCTAAGTCTCCCGTGTGGAGAACTCAATGGATCACAGCAACACAAGTCCTTGAGCCAGCACCATTGCCTCCCAGGATCTTCATTAGCAGGCAGCCGGGATTAGGAGCCGGAGCTGGGTATGAAGCCCCAGTACTCCAACGTGGGGTGCAGGCATCTTAACCAGACTGCTACCCACTGGGCTAATGCCTGCTCCGGTCATTTATTTTGTATTGTTCTGTCATTGTTTGTTCATCCTGGGTGTAGGAAAGAGTTTTGGTTTGGGATTTGGGGGCTGGATTTGGTCCTGAGCTGGTACAACCACCACAGAGTGACCTCCGGAAAGGACAGAGCCCTTGGGTGCCTGGCATTCACAGCTGTGCCGCATGACACCCTGCCCAGCTCACATATTTACTTTGAGCATCACATCACCCCTGTGGATGAACATGCTAGAGAAAGGTGTTAAAGGGGGCAAGGACATGGAAAGGAGCTTGGAGGTAAAATGTCCACACTCAAGTCTTTCACTACCTGTGACCTTGAATGTGTCCCTTAGCTCAGCACAGCCCTGGGCGACACCATCTGCATGGAGCGCCCTGTGACTGGCGGCCCCGAAATTATGCAGGGGAGACTCTGGGTCTCCATTTGCACACACTTGTTGTGAAGGCTGCATGCAACGGTTTTCAGGTCTCCGCATTTATAAAACCATTGTCCTCCCTCCCTCCCTCCCTCCCTCCCTCCCTCCCTTCCTCTCTTTCATGTTTAATCCTTTTGATTTTTAACTTGGGAGGTGGTAGGAATTATCCAGTGCTACCTGTTGCCAGCACATGGACAGGAAGCTCCAGCTTCCTTCTTTCCCCAGCTCCCTGGGCGCCGTGCTCTCTCCGCTCCCACTCCACATCCCTGGCATCAGACCTTTCTTCCCCCTGCACAAAGGGTACCTTTCCCCCTCTGGTGGCCTGGGCAGTGAGCAGCCCACATCACAGCAGCTGCCCTTGGGTGTTTGCAAGGCCACCCTCATCTCATGGTGATCTCTCTTTGTCTAGAAACCTGGGAAAGCCGTGGCTGCCATCATCCAGGACATCCATTCCCAGAGGGAGAGGGACTTGTTCCGGGAAGCAGACAGGTGAGGTCTTGGCAGAGTCTCAGCAGTGGGAACACTCTCCTCTTTCTGACTCTTAGGGGTATTTGAACCACAACATGTCCTGTCCTTACCTCTGCCCCATCCATCGGCCCTTCTGGGCACTGATGCAGTCCAGTCCATAGTGCTGCTCCAGTTACACGTCAGGAAAATGCCAGGTGTTGGGCTGCTTCTCAGTTGCTCCTGCTTTGTTGGAAAGGAATATAGCAAGCTTTTTTAAATATTTGGTCCTCTGGGGCAAGTCTGCATTCCACTAAGACAGCCTGACAGTGTGTGTGTAGAGGGAGGGGCATTTCGGTTTGGAGCCAGCTCTGGATTTTTCATGAACTGAATGCAGATGATCCCGCAAACTCCCTGCACAGTCATTTACTCTGTACATTGAATGCATTCAGTTTTCCAACCCATTTCTCCCAACTGAGGGTTGTGACCAGGCCAAGCTGGGGGCTGCAAGTTGACCACAGTCACTGCCCTACAAAGTCAGTCCCTGTGGAGAGCGTGGGTGGAAAGCAGCAGGAGCCTGCACCTGGCTGATGCATTCTGGGATCTTACCCAGGGATACCACAGGGGGCGCTCTCACCCCACTAGAGAGGGCATGAGCCCAGGCTGTTTCCCCCATGATGGTCAAGGTATCTTGGTCCTAGAGAACCATGCCTTCCTGTCTCCTGGGCAGTGAGGGCTGCAGGGTTTTTCTGTGTTTGAGACCCAAATGAAAAATGCTCGTCCTTTTAGAATGATAGGGGTAGGACTCAGTTGATCTGTTTAATAACGTGTGTGTGTGTGTGTGTGTGTGTATATGTGTCTGTGAGTATATAATGGTCTTTAGGGAATTCACAGAAACTTAGAAAATTCATGGAAATGCACATTATGAGTAAATTATGCATAGACTTCAAAAAGTTTTTGTACCAAGGGGCCTGCATTGTGGTGCAGTGGGTTAAACTGCTACCTGCAACACTGGCATCCCATATAAGTGCCGATCGAGTCCCGGATGCTCTACTTCCAAGCCAGCTCTCTGCTAACACTCCTGCGAAAGCAGCAGAAGGTGGCCCAAGTACTTGGCTCCTTGCCACCCATTTGGGAGACCCAGATGGAGTTCCTGACTCCTGGCTTCAGCCTGGCCCAGCACAGGTCTTTGCAACAATTTGGGGAGTGAACCATTGGATGAAAGAATCTCTCTCTCTCTCTCTCCATCTCTCCATCTGTGTGTGTGTTTGTGTGTTTGTAACTCTGTCTTTTAAATAAATACATCAATTGTAAAAGATGTTTTTGTACCAAAATCAACCAATCTTTTAACTCCGTTTTTCCATGGCCTTTTTGAAGTAGCCTCCTGTGTGTATCTGTAAGTAACTGTTCAGGCATGGGGCTTTTGTTCTCTTGTTTGTCCATCCCACCCCCTCCCCCATCTCCCACTACCACCACCGCTACCAGAAGCCAGGAGGGAAGGAAAGCCTTGCTCCTGGGCCACTCTGTGTGGTTCTGGAGCACTGTGAGTGCAGGATGCACAGCTGTCCCCAGAGAGGCTGTGTCTTCTGTGCCCAGGTTGGTGGCATGGGGTACAAATTCTAATCCTGCTCCTTTGATCCCTGGCAGATACGGCCCAGAGAGGCCACGGTCTCGCAGTCCAGTGAGCCGGTCCCTCTCTCCAAGGTCCCATACACCAAGCTTCACCTCCTGCAGCTCTTCCCACAGTCCCTCAGTCCCCTCCCGGGCTGACTGGGGCAACGGCCGGGACTCGTGGGAGCACTCTCCCTATGCCAGGAGGGAAGAGGAGCGAGACCCAGGCCCCTGGAGGGAGAACGGAGAGGACAAGAGGGACAGGACTGACACGTGGGCGCACGATCGCAAGCACTACCCCCGGCAGCCAGACAAGGCCGACCTGGATGAGCGACTGGAAGGAGGGAGGGGCTACCGGGACAGGTACCCAAGGTCTGGGTCCCCCAACCTCATCCACTCTGCGTCCAGCTACAAAAGCCGGGAAGACGGCTACTACCGGAAAGAGCCTAAAGCCAAGTCAGACAAGCATCTAAAGCAACAGCAGGAGGCCCCTGGGAGATCCAGGAGGAAAGAAGAGGCCAGGCTGCGGGAGAGCAGGCACCCCCACCCCGATGACTCAGGCAAGGAAGACGGGCTGGGGCCCAAGGTCGCTAGGGCCCCTGAGGGCGCCAAGTCCAAGCAGAGTGAGAAAAATAAAACCAAGAGACCTGATAGAGACCAAGAAGGAGCTGATGATAGAAAAGAAAGCAAAATGGCAGAGAATGAGGTAATGACGCAAGTCCTCCCCAGGTAAGGCGAGGCAGGCCCCATAGTAGAATAATCCTAGGAACAGCGTGATGGGGGTTGGCTGTTTACTGCACGCCAGGCACCGGGCTGAATGCTTTATCTCAGGTCATCTAATCCTCACAGCAACCCTGAGGTTGGTGCTCTGATTACTGCAGATGAGGAAACTGAGGCACAGAGAACTGTGTGGTTTGCCCAAGGACACATGATCCGGAAGGGGCAGAGCCAGAATCCTGCCTGGGCAGCCTGGCCCCACATCTAATAAGGGCACTTGTTGCCCTTATTAGAAGTCAGGGAGGCACCGGGTGGCAAGGCCTCTGTAGCCCTGTTTGCCCAGGGCGGAGTAACCCTGCAGTGTTGACACAGAGTCTGCCAAGAGAGATTAGATCTTTGGTGCATTCTCTTCTCTCTCCTGCCCAGAGCATACCAGCCCCAGAGCTTTGGTGAGAGGCGGTGAAGGAGAAGCAGCCACCACCCTCCAAATTACCCCAGGCGTCCAGGGCATGGTGTGTTTCTCCAGATGCTGCCCACGGTGTTTTACTTCCTCTGCAGTAAAGCCAACACCTTCCTCTCTGTCCGAAAGGGCCTGCGCCTTGTTGCATTGTCCCGGTTCACACTGGGGGGCGGGGGTCACGAGGAGGAGTCTGGGTACCAGGTTTGGAATCTACTTGACAGATGCCCATGCTCCCTTCTTGCTGGAGCCTCCTGTGTTGAAGGGAGAGCTGGGGTAGTCGAGGTTGGGAGATCTGTGTGAGGGACCTGATTGTTTGAATCCTCCTTGTGTCTCTTCTGAACCAGGACTTGGTGACAGTTACTAAGCCCGATTCTCCACTCCATGAATGCTGAAGAGTCACACATACATACGGCTGGGGTGCTGCTTTGCTAGGTGGTGTGTGGTTGGCACAGGGGGTCTGGCGAATAGGACAGAGTCCATTTTACGGCATAGCCCAAGGTCTAAGGGTGGAAACAGACCCCTCAAAATAATTTGCATGCGATGGCGCTCATGCTAGAATTCAGAGTGGATGAACTGTTCTGTGAGCAATGAATTTTACACAAGGAGAGAGGCACAGCTGCACCGAGGGGGTGACATTTGAGCTGGGTTCAGAAAATGGGAAAAAGAAGCAGTTTGGGTTCTTGGTAGAGGCAGCAGCAAGGAAAGAAGTGTGAAGGACTGTGAAGAACCCTGAAACTCTGGACATGACTGCAACTTTAGGGCATATTAAAGGATAATATTTTCAAAAAGTAAAACTGTGGGCCTAGAGCAAACATCGATGAATCGATGTCAGAGATTTTACTCAGCTCATTGGTTAATGAGAAAACTATAGGATGGAAAAGCCAACTTAGAGGAGAATCCAGAGAGTGGCAACCTATATAGGCAGTCAGGGATACTGATAATATGCTAATGGATGGACAACTGGCCTCCCCCACAGGGACTGGAGGGTCAGGTGCATCTGTACCAGTTGAAATTCATTTGCAGCGTTATGGCCAAGAATTCTTTGCATTACAACCAGTTTTCTGTGACTTCGACAGTTGTAAAATAGTATTCTTCAAGATCAAGAACAGTGTAGACCCTGATAGAATCAGACACCATGGAAGGGTACACTGGACAAATGTCCAGTGTTCCATTGTCCATTGAAAGGATACCCTTTTTTTTTGTCCATCGCAACCTTTTCTGCCCACTTCAAACTCACAGTCTTTATGACTGAGCGGAGGGAAGCACAGGAGATGAGATTAGGAAAGGGAAGGGGTGGGTTCGTGAAGGACATTGTGTGCCTTGCTAAGGACTTGAACTGGATCCCAAGGACCTGGGGAACTATTATGCTTGTTGTTGTTTTAAGGTTTATTCATTTATTTGAAAGGCAGAGTGAGATAGACAGAAACAGAGGGATATCTTTTGTCCACTGCAACAAGTGGGGCTGGTCCAGGCCAAAGCCAGGAGGAGCCTGGAGCTCCATCTGAGCCTCCCATATAGGTGGTAGGGGCCCAAGTACTTGGGTCATCTTCCGCTGAGTGCCTGGGAATATTAGCAGGGAGCTGTATTCGATGCAGAGTAGCCAAGACTGGAATCAGCATGTCACTATGTGTCGCTCCCCCTCTTCATGGAGGAACGACACTAAACCCTGCCTAGGCTTCATATCCGAGTCACGGCACCATTATGTCGCTCCCCCTCTTCGTGGAGGAGCAACACAGGACCCTGCGCTGTTCTTTCTGTCTGCTCGGCCCTCCCCGGGTTTGCTGCTGGTTCTTCCCGGGTTGGCTACTATCCCTTCCACCTCCGTGGAAGGGCAGTTCCCCCTGGCCGCATTCCCCACTTCCGCAGGGGAGCGGCACACCGCCGGCCGGCTTTCTGGGGGGCTGCACGGGTTCCCTTAGATGTTCCCCATAGATGTTCCTGGTGCATGCCGTCTCTCTCCTCCTTTATAGTCCTCCTCCGCCAATCCCAACTCGGCTGCCCACACGCCGAGTACGCTGCTCTCCTCCAATCAGGAGCAAGTCCTACAGTTTATTAGTTGAACTGGAGGCAGCTGTGCGGAAGCTGTTTACTTCTCTCCCAGCGCCATATTGTGGGAGAGCAGATGCATAGAATAAGTCCTAATTCGAGTAACTTAGTCTAGTCCGGATTGCTCCCCACAGATCCCCCTTTCTTTTTATTTTTTAGCGTTGATACGCGCCTGTCTTCGGTGTCCCGCGGCACACACTCTGCTCTACTTGCTAGAGTTGCCACAGGCTCTTACAAGTCCTATCAGGCAAACCGAATCCGGGTCCTCTCTTCGCCATGTTGTGAGGAGGTTTTTAGGCGCTGATGCGTGCCTGTGTTCGGTGCCCTGCAGCGCATGCTCTGCTCTGCTGGAATTGCCTGCAGGTGTTTACAAAACCTATCAGGCAAACCGAATCCAAGCCTTCTCATTGCCGTATTGTGGGGGAGACTTATTAGTGTTGGTTCGTGCCTATCTTCGGTGACCTGCAGCTCATACTCTGGTCGAGCTGCTTGCTGGCGCTTACCGCCTTAAATCAGGCAGACCGAATCCAAGCTTAATATTGTATTGTGGGGAAGCCTTACTGATGTTAATTCGTGCCTGTCTTCGGTGACCTGCGGCGCATAAGCTGCTAGCTGCCCGCAGGTGCTCATTGCCTCACTTGATTAGGCAGACCGAATCCAAGCTCTCACATTGCAGTGTTGTAGGGAGGCCTTTTTATTTCTCTATTTCTCTATCTCCGGGCATTCCTATTTCTCCCATTTTACTTCTATCTTCCAGCATTCCTATTTCTCTCATCTTACTTCTAAACTTCTGTTTCTCTTATCCCTGCGGCTTCCCGGCGCCTCGCCCTGCCGGCAGCTTCACGGCTCCGCGCGGCTTCCCGGCGCCTCGCCCCGCCGGCGCCCGCCCCGCGGCGGCTTCTCGGCGGCTTGGCTTCGCGCGCTCCGCGGTCTCCACGCCCTTCGCGTCTGTACCACGGCCTCGCGCCAGCGTTCCCTATCTATTCACGCCCCGTGCTCTCTCTGCACGCGGCGGCTTCCGCGAATGTTTCCGCCACCACCGGCATTCAGTCCAAGTTCCCCGGACTAACCTGGCGAATTCCAACCTGGCGGCCCACGTCTCTGCCTCTGGTTCCAGATCTTCGCCTCTTGCTCCCCGGGGTGACTTGAAGAATTCCAAGGTGGCTTATATCTCCGCCTCGGCCTGCACTCGCGGCTTCATCCTCCCTAACATTTTTCTCTACCCGGTATGTTTCCTTAAGTTTTCTTCCAACAATATTCCTCCCTCATTTCTCCTGGCTTCTCCCCACAGTCCGTATCCGAGTCTAAGTTTCTTACAGGTTTCACTTTCACTTTCAACCTGCAGTCCATATCTGAGTCTAAGTTTCTTCTTGCTTTCACTTTAAATCCTAACTTCTTTCCCACAGTCCATATCCGAGTCCAAGCCTCCTCCAGGTTTCACTTTCGCTTTCAATCTCCTAGCTTCCCCGCCATAGTCCGCATCCGAGTCTATGAAAGCTTTCATTTTCGCTTTCAATCCTAACTTCTTTCCCACAGTCCATATCCGAGTCTATGCCTAGGCTTTCAATAGCTTCTTCCGGCACCCTTTTCGTCCGGCTTTTCCCTAGGCTGTTTTCTTCCCTCCTAAGTTTCCTATCCGTCCTAGGTTTCCTATCCGAGTCAGGTTTCCTATCCGAGTCACGGCACCATTATGTCGCTCCCCCTCTTCATGGAGGAACGACACTAAACCCTGCCTAGGCTTCATATCCGAGTCACGGCACCATTATGTCGCTCCCCCTCTTCGTGGAGGAGCAACACTGGACCCTGCGCTGTTCTTTCTGTCTGCTCGGCCCTCCCCGGGTTTGCTGCTGGTTCTTCCCGGGTTGGCTACTATCCCTTCCACCTCCGTGGAAGGGCAGTTCCCCCTGGCCGCATTCCCCACTTCCGCAGGGGAGCGGCACACCGCCGGCCGGTTCTCTCGGGGGCTGCACGGGTTCCCTTAGATGTTCCCCATAGATGTTCCTGGTGCATGCCGTCTCTCTCCTCCTTTATAGTCCTCCTCCGCCAATCCCAACTCGGCTGCCCACACGCCGAGTACGCTGCTCTCCTCCAATCAGGAGCAAGTCCTACAGTTTATTAGTTGAACTGGAGGCAGCTGTGCGGAAGCTGTTTACTTCTCTCCCAGCGCCATATTGTGGGAGAGCAGATGCACAGAATAAGTCCCAATTCGAGTAACTTAGTCTAGTCCGGATTGCTCCCCACAACTATGGGATGCCAGTGTTAACAGCAGTGGTTTAGACCACTGTGTCACAATGCCAACCTCCAAGTCGAAGTTTTTAAGAAGAACATATCTGCTTACAAGTATCAGGGAGCAGGCGATGGGTTAGTACTGCAAGAAAAGGTGCCGGCGCCGGGGCTCAATAGGTTAATCCTCTGCCTTGTGGCGCTGGCACACCGGTTCTAGTCCCGGTAGGGGCGCCGGATTCTGTTCCAGTTGCTCCTCTTCCAGGCCAGCTCTCTGCTGTGGCCTGGGAGTGCAGTGGAGGATGGCCCAAGTGCTTGGGCCCTGCACCCACATGGGAGACCAGGAGAAGCACCTGGCTCCTGGCTTCAGATCAGCGTGGTACGCCAGCCTCAGCGCGCCGGCTGCGGCGGCCATTGGAGGGTGAACCAACGGCAAAGGAAGACCTTTCTCTCTGTCTCTCTCTCTCTCATTATCCACTCTGCCTGTCAAAAAAAAAAAAAAAAAGAAAGAAAGAAAAGAAAAGAAAAGGCTCCAGGGGAGAAAGAGCGAGAGTTGGCAGGGGGTAAAGCCCGGGGCTCATACGCAGACCCCCAAGGCAAGGGTGGAGCTGTACCTCCACACTCCTGCCCGTACCTGTTCTTTGGGAACCTTATTTCTCCTGCAGTTTCACCCACCCTGCTCTTGTTGGTTTGCATAATGGTCTGGGAAAGCAGTGGAAGATGGCCCAAGTGCTTGGACCCCCGTCCTCACATGGGAGACCTGGAAGAAGCTCCTGGCTCCTGGATACCAGGACTGTCCATCTAAATTGGTGCACATTATGGGTCATCCCAAGAGCCCAAAGCAGAAAGAGTCTCAGGTAGCCCCGTGTGTTTCCCATAAATCTGTCCGCCTGCTTGGTTCTACCTTGCATAGTCCCTAAGTGGGGTTGGTAGGGATTCAGGGCCCCCGGCAGACTGTTTCTGGGGAATCAGAGCTGGGCAGCCCAACTCACTGAGTTGGAATAACAGCAAAACAAGAGTTTTCTGCCCCATTCTCAAAAATCTGTATTATGAACTCTGTAAAAAACAGGTCTCCATGGGGCTGCCCCAGAGTCAGATATGACGCAGCAGCTGAACTTGGGAGTGAAGGCAGCAGGGCTGAGCTACAGCCTTTCTTCTACCCCCCAAGACCCCCGCCACCCACATTGGCGCCCACTGCTCTGCTGAGGAGCCCCAGCCCAGAAGTCCTGCTGCCTGCTGCTCATCCCTGTGTCTTCATTTGTGGCAGCATCTCCAAGTGCGCCCCTGGCAACTGTGTAAGATCTCAGCCCAGCCCACTTCTTTTTTTTTTTTTTTGGACAGGCAGAGTGGATAGTGAGAGAGAGAGACAGAGAGAAAGGTCTTCCTTTTGCCGTTGGTTCACCCTCCAATGGCCGCCGCGGCTGGCGTGCTGTGGCCAGCGCACCGCGCTGATCCGAAGCCAGGAGCCAGGTGCTTCTCCTGGTCTCCCATGGGGTGCAGGGCCCAAGCACTTGGGCCATCCTCCACTGCACTCCCGGGCCACAGCAGAGAGCTGGCCTGGAAGAGGGGCAACCAGGACAGAATCCGGCGCCCTGACCGGGACTAGAACCTGTGGTGTTGGTGCCGCAAGTGGAGGATTAGCCTAGTGAGCCGCGGCACCAGCCATGCCCAACCCACTTCTCTCCTTTCTCCGCTTTCCTGTTTTGGGTAGCACTTTCACCTACTTTCTGTCTTTTTTTTTTTTTTTTTTAAGGTTTATTTATTTGAGAGGCAGAGTTACAGACAGAGAGAAGGAGAGACAGAGACTGGTCTTCCAGCCGTTGATTCACTCCCCAAGTGACTACAACGGCTGGAGCTGGGCTGATCTGAAGCCAGGAGCCAGGAGCTTCTTCCAGGTCTCCCATGTGGGTACAGGGGCCCAAGTACTTGGACCATCTTCCACTGCTTTCCCAGGCCATTAGCAGGGAGCTGGATGGGAAGTGGAGCCGCCAGGACATGAAATGGTGCCCATATGGGATGCTGGCACTGCAGGTGGAGGCTTAACCTACTACACCACAGCACCAGCCACCTACTGTCTGTTTTATTTAATGTGTGTCCTTATTCCCACCACCCTCTGCGTGTCACCTCCAGGAGGCAGGAGTTTTGTATCCTGTGTCCCCAGCTCCAGAGTGGACACTCAACAGTTTCCCAGTGAAGGGTGGAGGATTGAACCTAGACTCTGAAGGCAAAGACCTGGCTCCTAGAACCAGTCCCACCCTGTTCTTCTCTACCTCAGTTTTCTTGTTATTAGAATGGGTGTGACCCAGGCCGTGGTAGCTTGTTAATGAGCTTGTGCTCATTAGGAACCCTGAGATCTCTGGAGAAAGTACATGGTGTAGCCAGTTTGTGCTTCTGGGTGTTTGTGGTGGCCATGTCCATGCATGATGGCCAGCCTTGAGTCCAGGACCACAGGAGAGGCGGGAGCAGGATCCAGTGTTGGAGACCTGGACGCCATGTAGTGATGCTGGAGCAAACGACATGAGTGTGGCCAAGTGGGAGTGATGGGACCGAGGCAGGCTGAGGCTGTGTTGCCTGTCTGATGGGGGTGGCTGGCCACTGCTCAGCTCTGTTCCATAGCTGCCAATCAGGATTATGTGTCCTGTGCCAAAAGATCCCTATTTTCTTAGAGCAAGACGGGGCCCGAACATTGTGGTCTGAGGGCTGCCATGGGAAGCTGGGGACAAGGGTGTGTTTATCTGTTCCTCTGAAGGTGCTGCTCTCACCGGGAAGTGATCCCAGGGCTCCCCAGTTTCCTTTCCTGCAGGAAGGAAGAGCAGGGCTCTGCCTGCTTTGGGGGGAGGGGAGCTTTTGGCGCAGCCTCTCCTAGCTTGATCTGGAGGGAGTCTCTTTACAGTGCGGGCTAGGAGTGTGGCTGCACGAGCTGCTTGCAAAGGGTGAGGGTAGGACAGGCCCTGAGTGTCCAGGCAGGTGAAGGAGTGGCTTCCGCAGCCTCACCAGGTACTCGCAGCTGTTGTCTTGCGCACTTAGCCAGAAGACTTCCGCAAAGCTTTCCGTGGAATCTTCTGCTCCAGACACTGGAAAGAGTGAGGGTTTGTGGACTGGAACCATCTGTCCCCGTCAGTACAACAGGCTAAACCAGTCAGCCCTGAATTCCTGCCCCAACTGGCTCCTGTCCTCATGAGGCTGTGTCTGGTGATGAGACATCAGAACCAGAGTCATTTCCTTTGAACCAACCCCAGCTGAAAACATCGAGAAAATGCAGGGTGCCCCTGAGGAGGCCTGGGAGTAGTTGTGGATTTGGTAGCCAAAGTTTAAGTCACGGGAGAATCTCCCAGAAACTTCTACAGCGGGGTTGGCAAATGTTCTCTGCAAGGGACCAGATGATAAACATGTTAGTCTGTGCAGGGCAAGGCAAAACTGGGGATCTTAGACGGGCGCTTACATGATTGTTTAAAAGATAGCTGTTTAAAATTAGAAAATCCCCCCTTAGCTCCCAGACTGTACACACACTGGGGGAGGGGGCAGTTGTCAGGTTTGTCCCATGGACTACAGCTTGGTGGCCCTGTTTTAAAGGCTGGTGAGGCCCTCATTCTGAAACTCAACACCTGCTCCCAGTTGCTCAATGTCACACACATAGGCACTATCCTGAGAAAGAGAGGAGTGCTCGTTTGAACTGTAGCACTGAGACAGAGACAGCGTTGAGTGACAGCTCCCTTCCTACTCACAGTGGCCTGAATGTGATTTTCTAGAAAATTTATTTATATATTTGGAAGACAGAGACTGACAGACATACCTCTTTCACTCCCCAAATGCCCACAGCAACCAGGGCTAGGCCAAGCCAAAGCTGGGAACCTGGAACTCCATCCAGCTCTCCCACATGGGTGGCAATGTCCCAGCTACTTAAGCAATCATTTGCTGCCACCCCTCCAGGGTGTGCATTAGTAGGTAGCTGCAACAGAAGCAAAGCTAGGACTGCAACCCAGCACTCTGATCTGGAATGCATGTGTCCCCAGCTATGCCCAAGGCTCACCCCTGAGTGGAGGTTTTTTTGTTGTGTTTTGTTTTGTTTTTTAGCAGTCAAGGCAGCTCTGTTGGGAAAATGCTATCTTATGTCCAACCCCAGGGTCTCTGGCTCTAGAGTCATTTCACCCTTGGCTTCTTCTACTCACCCTCACTGCAAAAAAAAGTACCTAGTTTCCCCGCTAATGACATCTGGCCAGCCATCAGAGACAGCTCTCTGCCTCCATTTGCCTGTGTGACTGTGAACAGCTACTTAGCCTCTCTGAGCCACAGTTTGCTCCCTTATAAAACCAAGATGACCAGTGTAGCCGCCTCCGAGGGTTCTGTGAGGGGACAGAAGGTGACGTCCGCAGCCGTGTCTGACAGCGGCGAGCCGCGCTCAGAATCATGCTTCCTTCTGCTGCTCTTGCTCTTCCCCGCCATTGTTCACTGCTGATTTGTTTTTTTCTGATCTTCTTTTGGTAAGGCTGGAAAAGAGGAACAAGACAGCGCAGAAGAAAGCCCTGCATCCGTGGGCGGACAGGAGAAAGAAGCAGAGGCCTCTGACCCAGAAGACACAAGGACAAAGAAGGTAAAGTGTGCCCTGGTTTCTCGCAGCGTTGTCACATCTGCCCTGTGGCTGCTGGCCCTGGGTCTCAGGGGTGTCCCTAGCATGGTTCCAATGAAGGAGCTATTGGAGGAATGGATTTGCCTGGGATCTTCTGACAGCCTTGACTGATCTCCCGACTCCCATGCCTCGTCTCTGCCTCCCTCTCCAGAGTTTGGCTGTGCTCCTGAGAGGCAGCACGCACTCAAAAGAGACTCAGGCTCCAGAGCCAGGCTCCCGAAATAGGCAGGTCCCACTTCTGGTGCTCGAGCTGGGGCCCTGACCTCAGCAGGCCCAGGCCTGGGATTAGCAAGGCATCTACTGTGCTTGTAAAGATGACTTTACTTAATTAAAATGCAAATCCCAGTTGCAGACCTCCTGGGCTGGGGCTGCCAAAGCAACAAGCAATGTCCTTGGCACGTGGCCAGCTCCACGCCTTCCCGATCAGGAGAGGTGGGGGTGGTGGGTGTCGTCCTCACTCTGTCCATGAGTCTGTGGGCTGCTGGGGCACCAAGGGCGCTGTTCCAGGAGGGGCCGAGGGACAGCCTTGGTTATGGGATTGCACCCTGGCTGGGGGGAATCGGGATTTGTGTGTGTGTGTGAGGGAGTTGGTCACAGTTCCAGTGAGTGGCCATCCACGTGCAAGGAAGTAGCTCCAGAAAGTGTTATTTTATTATTATTATGTTTTTACAGTTGCAAACTTCATACACTTCACAGTTACAACTTTAGGAACATGGTGATTCTTCCCACTGTGGCCGCCCTCCCACCCATATTCCCACCCCTGTTCCTCCTCCCTCTTTTACTCCCACTCTTATTTTTTACTGAGATTTATTTTCAGTTGACTTTATACACATATGTTTAAGTTAAGTAAAGAGGTCAACAAATAGTATTGAAAAAAACTCTTCCTCAACAGTCAAGACAAAGGCTGTTCCAGTCATTATTTCTCAAAGTGTCAATTTCACTTCTACAGATTGCCTTTTGGTGCTCTATTAGTTATCACAGGTCAGGGGGAACATATGGTATTTGTCCCTTTGGGACTGGCTTATTTCACCAAGTATGATGTTTTCCAGATTCATCCATTTTGTTGCAAATGACTGTTCTTCATTTTTTTTTTTACCACTGAATAGTATTCCATGGTGTATATATCCCATAATTTCTTTATCCAGTCTTCAGTTGACAGGCATTTGGATTGATTCGTGTCTTAGCTATTAAGAATTGAGCTACAATAAACATGGGGATACAGATAACTCTTTCATATGCTGACTTCATTTCCCTTGGGTAAATTCCCAGCAGTGGGATGGCTGGGTCATATGGTAGGTCTATATTCAGATTTCTGAGGTATCTCCATACTGTCTACACAGAGGCTATACCAGTTTACATTCCCACCAGCAGTGGATTAGGGTGCCTTTTCCCTACATCCTCACCAGCATTTGTTGTTTGTTGATTTCTGTATGAAAGCCATTCTAACTGGGGTGAGGTGAAACCTCATTGTGTTTTTGATTTGCATTTCCCTGATGGCTAGTGATCCTGAGCATTTTTTCATGTGTCTGTTGGCCATTTGGATTTCTTCTTTTGAAAAATGTTAAACTCCTTTGCCCATTTCTTAACTGTGTCATTTGTTTTGTTGTTGCTGAGTTTCTTGATCTCTTTATATAATCTGGTTATTAATCCTTTATCAGTTGCATAGTTTGCAAATAATTTCTCCTATTCTGTCGGTTACCTCTTCACTTTCCTAAGTGCTTCTTTGCAGTATAGAAGCTTCTCAATTTGATGTAATCCCATGTGTGAATTTGGACTTTGATTGCTTATGCTTTTGGGGTCTTTTCCAAGAACTCTTTGCCTGTGCCAATGTCTTAGACAGTTTCCCCAGTGTTCTCTAATGTGTTTAGAGTTCTAACTTAATCGTCTATTAATTCAAAAGCTATTTATTGAGCACCTGTTATGTGCCAGAGGCTGGAATTCTTTGTGTCACTGTAACCACGGTGGCCTAAGCACCAAGGGCTCCCTGCAAATCTGGTGCCGCATTGAGCATCTTTCTGAGGATGAGCCACAGATACGGGGCTAGAGTGTGTCATGGCTCCCAATTTCCCAGTCGTTCCCAGAGGGAAGGAAGAATGCTCGGAAGCTTTCTGGTATGAGGGGTCCTTGCAGACAAGGGTTGTGCCTTCTGATCAATGCCTTCAGCCACCCTCTGACCTCTGCTTTGTATTTTTATCCAGGAGCAAGACTGGGAGAGTGGAAGTGAGACTGAGGGGGAGAGCTGGTATCCCACGAACATGGAGGAGCTGGTCACAGTGGACGAGGTGGGGGAAGAAGAAGATTTTATCATGGAGCCAGACATCCCAGAGCTGGAAGAAATCGTGCCCCAGGACCAGAAAGACAAAATCTGCCCTGAAACATGTCTCTGTGTGGCAACCAGCACCTTGGACCTGGACTTGGCCCAGGATTTCGCGGAGGAAGGAGTGAAGCCCTTGGGGAGTGGGGCTGCGGAAATGAGCCTGAAGCCGCCCAGACAACTGCCTTCTGCTGCGACGAGCTGTCCCAGTGACATGGACGTGGAAACGCCTGGCCTAAATCTGGATGCTGAGCGGAAGCCAGCTGAATGCGAGACCGGCCTCTCACTGGAGGACTCAGATTGCTACGAGAAGGAGGCAAAGGGAACGGAGGGCTCAGATGTTCATCCGGCCCCTCCAGTCCAGCAAATGTCGTCCCCCAAGCCAGCAGAAGAGAGGCCCCGGCAGCCTAGCCCATTTCTCGATGACTGCAAGGCCAGGGGGACCCCCGAAGACGGGGCTTGTGGTGGAGGCAGCCCCCTGGAGGAGAAAGCCAGCCCCTCCACCGAGACCGACCTCCCAAGCCAGGCTTGCCAAGGAGTGTTGACCCAGGGTAACTACCTTCCCTTGTCTCGGTGGGTCGGGCGGGTCAGGCCACTGCTCACCCGAAGGCGGAGGTAAATGTGCAGGCCAGAGGAAGGCTGCGGTGCCCCCCGGGGTTACAGTGGTGTGGGGGAGAGGGGCACAGAGAGTGAGCAAGCACCAGAGGGGAGCCTCGGAGAGCCTGGCTAACCTGCTTGAGCTTCCAGGCCAGTGGAGTGAAGGAAATCGGCTAGGAGGTCACGTGTGTTCTGGGAAGCGCTCTAGGACAGGACAGACTTTTCTGCATTAAGGAACCCAGGTGGACTTGGACAGAGAAAAATGTGCTCAAGTTCACAGCAGAAGGAGCTGGGGTTCCTCGGATCAGCCCCAAGACCCCTTTTACCTGACAGGCAGAGCCCACCCAGGCTGTGGTTCCTGGGGTAGGTGTGTGGGAGGCAAGCAGGGAGGGGTTGGGGAAAGGACAGGGCGTCATCCCCAAGGAGTATGGCTTGCTCCCCTTCTCGCTACCGCAGAGCCATTTCTCTCCAGGGTCTGGCAGTGACACAAGACTTGTCCCAGGATCTCTTCCGCGCGAGGTGATGTTGTGTCTATGCCTGGCTCTGTGACATCATGAAAGAGAGAGTTTAAAATAGGCTCAGCCCGGGTTCTCTGCCAAGTGGAAACCAAGCTCCATCAAGGGCTCTAGGGGAGGGCAGGCGGGAGGGAGTGCAGCCCTGGAGACTGTCACAGTGAGAACGCCCCGAGATTCGCTGCATAGAAAGCCTCCACACAGGGGAGGTCAAGGCAGGATGGGGGGTGGGGGAGCGGAGGTCGGGATTCTGCAGAAAAGCCTTAAAAAGAAACCTTTCAACCCGGAGCCTCATGGACAGCACCAAGTGGTAGGTGACCTGGAGGCTCGGGCTTCCTTCCATGTCAGGCTGACCCGAGCTGTTTTTCATCTGCCTGGATCTGAGTCTCCATGGAAACTCTACCACGAGCTGCCTAGAGAGACGCCGAGGCCCGGCTCTGCCTGGAAGAGGCCAGGATCAGGCAGGAGAGACATTTTCCCCCTCGCTCTGTTGTGAACCCCTTGTGGTTTGCAGCTTGGGTCTCAGCTCGTGCCTGTGAGTGCTCCCTGTGCTCTCTACGGTGACACTAGAGTGGCCGTTCTTGCCAGCCCCAGTAGACATCTGTACAGTTTTTGCCCTTTTTATAATTCCTCTGCCTGCAGAGATGGAATGAGACAGAGCTGGGGGTGGGGCAGAAGAGGGGCATCAGTAGCCCACCCTCTGTGGGCCAAGTGCAAAGACTTGGGCGTGTGGCATTCTGGGAAGGCTCCTGATGATAGCGCTTGGTTCTAATTTGCAGTCATCACTGTAGCCTCATGAGATTAGGCATCTAGAGACAACTCCCAGCCACACCGTTCCCAGGGGGTGCACCTGCAGGGACTCTCTGAGACGTGTGTGCTCCAATAGCCCCTTGCCTTGGCTCCTGTTTTACAGAAAACCCCAGGTACCTGGAAGTGAAATCTCTGGACACGAGGGCCCCGGAATACACTGAAGCGGAGCTGAAGCAGCCCATTTCGTTGCCGTCCTGGGAGCCAGAGGATGTGTTCAGTGAGCTCAGCATTCCTCTAGGTAGGTGATGTAACTGTTCTCCCTAAAGCCCAGCTCCAGGAAATTGCAGTCCACAGCAGCTTCTAAGAGCTTGAGAGGGCGTTGCCCATGTTGTTGTTGTCGTGTTTTTAACATGTGATACAATAACCTAATTTTACAAGGTGCCAGAAGTTTCGCGCAGTTTCAGTCTCCCCTGGTTGACCACATACTCTCTGGGGAGCAGGCCTTGGGCAGCAGCACCCTGGCACTCAGCTAACACAGGCCTGTTTGTCTTGTTGGCTAACGTGGTCTTCTTGACCACGCAGCCTCGTGCAGATAGAGAGGCGGAGGCCCCACGGCCTCCACAGTCAACAGAAATGAGCCTCTCCTGCTGCTGTCTCCCTTCCCCGCTTGCCCAGCCGTTCCCAGACCAATACTACAATTTTTTTCTCTTTGAGGCAATGAATAGACTGTGTTTTAGGCAGGTCCTGGGTGGTTGACAGAGGGAGCATTGAACACAGAGACTGGGGCCCTGTCCTTCCTATTCCATTTATGGGGCACTGTGTGACTGTTTTCTCAGGCAGGTCGGTCCCAGCTTGAGCCTTGATTTCCTCATATGTGCCACGGAATTGGAGCAAACCAGTGGCTTTCAGTGGGGCAGGTATTGGGGGTGGGGTGGGGTTCACTCACTGAATCACTGAGGCCACATTTCCATGGGGGAGAACCAAGCAGAGTCTCTGGGTAGGGGTAAAGGTGCTTCCCTGGGAGAGTCCGGAGTAGCTCCCACTCCAGCCTGCGTCATCTCTGAGTGTGCACCTTGGCTCTGAGAGGTTGGAAGGCGATGAGATAAAGGAGTCACAGCAGCTGCCCAGAGAGCGAGCCTGGGACAGGGCCATGTGGGCAGCTGAGAGGCTGGTGTGTCTGAGAAGCTCTGGGGTGGCTGCTCTTCCAGGCTGGGGCTCCTCGCCGTGGAGGCCCCCCTTCCCATCCAGGTTCCTCTTCCCTCTGTTCTTTTTCTTCTCCTCTTAAAAAAAAAACCCTCTGTTTTCCCCTCATTTTTGTGGGGTCAAGTGTAGAGAAAAACCATTTTTTGTAAAGTGGTCGATGTGCTGCACAGTATCTTCGAAGATAAAAATTTAAAAAGGAGAAATGAAGGGAGGAAGGAGCAAAGAAAAGAAGGGAGAGAAGGAGAGAGGGAAGAGAGGAGGAAGGGAGGGGGGGAGGGAGGGAAGGAGGCCTACAGACCTTAGAATGAACTGCAAGGGCCTGGGTTTTTAACCCTGGGAAGTCTCTAAACAGCTGCATAGGCTGCCTTTTGGGAGAGGAGATGATTCACTCAGGCAGCAAATACAGGGCTAGGCCTGCAGGGGAACCAGTCTCTTGTCATCCAAGAACTTGGAATCAGATGAGTCAGCAAAAATTGGGAGTAAATTCTACCAACATAATTCGTGTCTTCACTAGAAAAAAATATGAGTATTACTAATGAGTTAAAAAATAAGAGGCATATACAGTCAGTAAGAAAGGTGTCGCCCGTTCCCGCAGTCCCTCCAGGATCTTCCCACAAAGGAAGAATCGCTAGAGACGCATCATGTTCTGCAGTTTGCTTTTTTCACGTCACAGTGGATAACAGAGATCTCTTCTTAGAGGATGCCTTATTTTATGCTATTATTCCTTCTTTTTTTTTTTAAGAGTTATTTGTTTGAAAGGCAGAGTGACAGAGAGAGAGGAGAGACAGAGAGATAGAGACCTTGTATCTGCTGGTTCACTCTCCAAATAGCCGCAACAGCTAGAACTGAGCCAGGCCAAAGCCAGGAGCCAGGAGCTTCTTCCAGGTCTCCCACATGGGTAAGCGGCCCAAGCACTTGGACCATCTTCCACTGCTTTCCGCGGCCACTAGCAGGAAGCTGGATTGTAAATAGAGCAGCCGGGACACGAACCATCTCCCATATGGTGTTTTGTTTTGTTTTGTTTTTTTGACAGAGTGGACAGTGAGAGAGAGAGAGAGACAGAGAGAAAGGTCTTCCTTTTGCCATTGGTTCACCCTCCAATGGCTGCCGCGGCCGGCACGTTGTGGCCGGCGCATTATGCTGATCCAAAGCCAGGAGCCAGGTGCTTCTCCTGGTCTCCCATGCGGGTGCACGGCCCAAGGACTTGGGCCACCCTCCACTGCACTCCCGGGCCATAGCAGAGAGCTGGCCTGGAAGAGGGGCAACCGGGACAGAATCTGGCACCCCGACTGGGACTAGAACCCGGGGCATCGGTGCCGCAATGGAGGATTAGCCTATTGAGTCACGGCGCTGGCCAGCAGGCCAGTGTTTTAACCTCCTAAGCCACAGTGCTGGCCCTATTCAGAGAGAGGAGAGAGAAAAGAGAGAGAGAAGAGAGAGAGAAAAGAGAGAGAGAGAGGAGAGATAGAGAGGAGAGAGAGAGAGATCTTCCATCCGCTGATTCACTCCCCACATGGAATGGCCGCAATGACTGGAGTGGATCAGGACAAACACTGGAGTCAAAAACTTCATCTGGGTCTGCAGGGGCCCAGTAGTGTGTGGTTGGGGCCCAGTCGAGCCGTCTTCCGCTGCTTTTCCCAGGCCTTTAGCAGGGAGCTGGTTCAGAAGTAGAGCAGTCGGGACAAGAACCGGTGCCCGTGAGGGAAGTGAGCGCAGCAGTGGCCTTACCTGCTGCGCCACAACGCTGGCCCCACAGACGTTCCTTCTGAAAAGATTCACTGTGCATTCCTGGTCCCTTCTGCTCCTGGAGACCGTGTAGGTTGTTTTCAGTTTTTCCCATTGCGAGAACACTGCAGTAACTATGCTTGTGTTGCCTTCGCTCACTGTGCAGGCCTCCTAGTGCTTCCTGTATCTTGTCTCGCTTGGCCCTCTCAAGACACCTGTAAGACAGGCCATTGTTTCATGCCTCTTTTATAGATCAGAAATCTGAGCAGTAGCATCACACAGCTAACGGCTGGCAGGGGCAGGAGCGAGGACGCAAGCCCCTGAGTCTGATTCTGGAGCTACGTTCCTACTCGCTAAGCTTTGCTGCCTTGCACGTGTGTGCTGTGACATGCTCTCTGCACTTGCCAGTGCTTCTGCAAGACAGCGTCCTGCACCTTAAATTCTCGTGACAGCAGCCAAATTGCACTGCACAAAGGCCATGCTAGTTTCCTCTGTGACCTTGGGAGTGCATTCCCATCTTCCACCTCCTTGCCAGCATCACACGTTATCTGTCTTTTGTCTGTGTGAGCCTGTTAGTAGGAAAATGATGTCTCATTTTGGTTTTCTGGAAACAGCTCTATCAGTGTGATTGACCGTTGTGAAGTGTGCGGTTTGACATACGTGTGTACCCGAGAAACCTTGAGCAAGACCAAGACAGGGAGTGTGTGCTACTCTGTGATCCCTCCCTCCCCTCGCCTCAGGCCCCCGCTCACCACTGACCTGCTTTCCACCACCAAGTATTTGCGTTTTCTAGAGCTGACTGTGGAGGGGGTTCTACAGTGCGTCCTGGTTTTGCCTGGCTTCTTTCGCTCAGCATAATTGGCATTCGTCTGTATGGGTGAGCGTATCAGTAGTCCACGTCTTCCCTCGTTGAGCAGGATTGGGCCATAGATGTGGGTGTACCACGCTCTGTTTATTCATTCACGGGTTGATGGGCATTTAGGTTGTGTTTGGCTTGGAGCATTGCAGATTGTGCATGTTCGTGGTCTTTGCTTGACCTTGAGACTCCACAGAGAAGAGGCACAATCCTATCGTGTGCACTCGACAGGTGGGGGCACTCAAGTCTAGACACTTCCCCAAGATCTCATAGGAAGTCCAGGCCAGAGCTCAGGGTTCTGTTCTCAGACCGCTCTGCTCGCCAGTTCCTCTGGCTCCGGCAGCAGCAAGCGCAGGAGGTGAGGAGCACGGACCGTGGAATCTGATTCCCCGGGTTCGAGCCTCATCTCGGCCACTTGCTGGCTGGGTAACAAAAAGCAATTTATGTAACCTCTGCTTGGACTTCTTCATCTATGAAGCTGGGATTATAACAGAAGCCTTCCCGAGAGTTATTTTGAGGATTAAATGGAAAAATATTTGTTAGGTCTTAGTGCCTTCCAGAAGAGCACTTAATAAGGGTTTTCTGTTGTTACTGTTTGTTTATTTTTTTTTTATTTTTTTTTTTTTGACAGGCAGAGTGGACAGTGAGAGAGAGAGACAGAGAGAGAAAGGTCTTCCTTTGCCGTTGGTTCACCCTCCAATGGCCGCCGCTGCAGCCGGCGCACCGCGCTGATCCTGGCAGGAGCCAGGAGCCAGGTGCTTTTCCTGGTCTCCCATGGGGTGCAGGGCCCAAGCACCTGGGCCATCCTCCACTGCACTCCCTGGCCATAGCAGAGAGCTGGCCTGGAAGAGGGGCAACCGGGACAGAATCCGGCGCCCCAACCGGGACTAGAACCCGGTGTGCCGGCGCCGCAAGGTGGAGGATTAGCCTATTGAGCCACGGCGCCGGCTTACTGTTTGTTTATTGAGAACTACAGGAGTACTTCAAAAAGTTTGTGGAAAGTGGAATTGAAAGTTTATTATCGAACAAAATAGTTTTGAAATCCACGCATATGAAGAATCTTTTGAAAGTTCATGGAAATGCACATTATGCAGAAACTTTGCATGGATTTCATGATATTTTTTTTACACCAAAATATACTTCATTGCATTTTCCATGAACTTTGTGAAGTGCCCTTGTAGTGTGCTTCCTCTTACTGGGGCTGCATAACCTTCCCCTTCCAAGATTGGTCACTTAGGGAAGCTTGGTCCCTGTGGGACAGCAGGGAGGTGACATGAGGAGTGCCCAGGACCGGGTACCCCATGGGGAGAGGCCGATCCTGTTGCTCAGAGGCTGGGTCATGGTGGGGAAGGGCATGGCCCATGTGACTCAGGCCAGCTCTGGGTGGCCCTGGCCGGTGTGGGCCTGCTAAGACCTGCTCCTCTCAGATCCCAGTGTCACTGCCCCTGCCTGCAGTGCACAGAACACCCCCCGCCACTGCCATCCCAGTGCTGGCTTTACTAGGATGACGGAATTAAGTGGCTGCTGCCAGGAGCTATTATTAGAAGCCAAAAGCAGCTTTAATGATGGTACTTTACAACAGAGGCAGAGAGAGCACCGAGCAGCTCCAGAGCTCGTCACGGCCAAGGCAACACATGTGCTGCTGCTGCTTCAGGTCCCCCGCATCCCAGGGTGTCGCTGTGAGTGCTGAGGGGCCCGCAGCAACCCCAGGCTGTCCGGGGATTCTCCCTGCCTAGCTTCTGTTTTCCTGGGGCTGTCTTGTGACTCCCCGTACTGCCCTAACCTGCTGGACAGAGGCCAGGAAAAGTCGTGGCAGGCTGCAGAGCCGGCTTCTGCAGGAGGCCGCTGCTCAGGCTGGCTTCTGGGAGGGTAACATTCTGAACGGATGTTTCCTGAGCACTAGGCAAGATGATAGGTGCTTCCCCCTAACGACATGCGTGGTGTTACTGTTGCAGAGAGGTTTCAGACGTGCCTGGGGTCACACAGCACAAGTAAAACGCCTACATCCGTCTGATTCTAAATTCAGTGTTCTCTCCACTCCACCATGGCCCTGCCCCGTGGCCTCCCTCGTTTTTGCTTTCTTGCTTGTTGGTGGTGTTTTCGCCTGGGTGAAGTGAAATGCTGCCCTGAGCCCCACAGAGGGCAGCGGGGTCTTTGTTTAAAAGGCATGGATGCTGCCAGCTCAATACCAGTGTCAGGCTCAGTGGACCCCCCCACCCCCGAGGCAACTATACCCCTTCCCGGGGGTCCCAGGACAGGCCTTCAGCACCACCACCCCCACCTGATTGGTGGATCCCGTGGGGTCTGAGTTGGGACCGAGGGCCTGGCTGGGCTCAGAGCTCTCAGCTCCCGGTGGAGTGGCCGCAAGAGGAAAAATTCTGCTTTGTTTAACATGGCTGGACCAGCACAAGGCAGGGCCAGGGCCTGGGCATGAGGTGGAGGGGAGCAGGGCCGGGGCCACCTTCCCTACCTTTGCGGTGAGGGTGGGAAGAGCGGTTGGGGAGGGCCCTCTGGCCCCCTCCAGGCAGCGAGGCCTGAGCCCCTCACTTCTGGGGGCTGCTGCTGCCTGCTGAGGGCTCAAGGCTATGTGGCAGTTAGAGCAAGCTAGTTGAGGCCATAGGCCGCAAACCACAAGGCAGCGAGCAGCCAAGGCTGGCAGGGGCAGGCCTCCTGGCCCCTCCCCAGGGCTGCCCTTTCACACACAGTGAAATGGAAAAAGGAGCTCTAATGACAAGGCTAGGCTGCGTCTCTAAGCCAGAGTCTTCCCGGCCCTCGGCTCTGTCCCTGGGTGGGAGGAGGGAGGAGGAGAGAGAAGGCAGAGCAGCCAGGATGTGGTCTTGTGGCTCAGGACCGCCCTCCCGGAGGGCGGGGGGAGGGGGACTTGCCTCTCCCTCACTGCCAGAGGTTGCCATGTGTCCCCTGCATGGGCGGATCTCAGTGTGGCCTGATCTCTGACGTTGCCACCCCCAGCAGAGCAGAGGGAGCAGCCAAGCCTGGCTACAGGTGCTACTCACACACAGGCAGTGGCCCCAGTGTGGTCCAAGCCCAGCCCTCTTGTTTCGCTCTGCAGTGGCTGCTGCTTTTCGCAGTCCTGCCGGCTCACCCCTTGCTGGAGCCGCACTACAGATGCCCTTGAGCAGGGTCCATGCTCTTCCAGGCAGGGAAACTGAACCCCAGGAGTGATTCACTGACTTGCCCCAAGATGCCTAGGTCCTCAGTGTCTGGGCGGGACCCTCTCAGACCTGGGCCTTCTCCACCCTGCTGACCACATCTCCAAGAGGAGACCACGTTGGCAGGTGTTGTGGTACAGGTTAAGCTGCCATCAGCAATGCTGGCATCCCATATGAGTGCAGGTGGGAGTCCCGGCTGCTCTGCTTCCGATTCAGCTCCCGCTAATGAACCTGAGAAAACAAAAGATGACTGAATACCTGGGCCCCGTCCAGCTACATGAGAGACCCAGATGGAGTTCCAGGCTCCTAGTTTCAACCTGACTCAGCCCTGGCTGTTGAAGCCACTTGGGGAGTGAACCAGCAGATGGAAGATCTCTCACTTGCGCGCTCTCTCTCTCTCTCTCTCTCTCTCATTCTCTCTCTCTGACTTGCCCTCTGTAAGTCCACCTTTCAAATAAATCAATCAATAAATCATTTTTGAGAAAAGGTTGGGGGTGGGGTGGAGAGGGGAGACTGCGTGACTGGCAGAACACCTCTTTGCAGAAACCCGGGCAGTCACCCTTCAAAGATGAGCCCTCTGCTGTGACAGTCACTTCTCGATGCCTGGGGCCCATTGTCTCCCTCCCTTGAAATCAAAAGGCCTCCTGGAATTCTGGAAGTTACAGTTAGTGAGCCACACATTCACTGTGACATTGACGGCTGGGACGTAAAGGCTGGAGGCAGGTAGAGAAATGTGCGCATTAGGAGAAAGGGAGGCACAGAGCTGCTTTAGGAGCTGGTTAAGACTGCCCGCAAAGGGCCCTGCCAGAGAGAAGCCATGCGGAAAGAAATCCTGGGGTTGCCTGGCTCTGGGTGGCTTTTTAGCCTCCCTTTGTGTGCAAGGTTTTCTTCAATGAACGTCATTCCTAAATTAACAGCAACCGCGACAGCAGAGAGGAGCATGGGCTAGAGATGTGAAATGCAAAACCCCCTTCCTCCTGCTCTGCCTGCGAGGAGAAGATGGGGACAACCGTCCCCAAAGCTAGTGGCCGAGCCTTTAGTTGCTAGCACTCAGCACCCCACACGGCGGCATCGCTCATACTCACAGCCACCAGTGAGCGAAGCCGCTTGGCAAACGAAACCGAGGCTTGGAGGAGCAAGAGAACCAGCCAAAGTCAACCATGAGGGAGAGTGGAACTTGTCACCCCCGTGTCCGCTTGGTGGCGGGAAGGGCTGGGGGCCGGGGGCGCCCTCCTAACGCCTGTGCATCCCCTCTCCTACAGGGGTGGAGTTCGTGGTTCCCAGGACCGGGTTCTATTGCAAGCTGTGTGGGCTGTTCTATACCAGCGAGGAGATGGCCAAGGTGACCCACTGCCGCAGTGCTGTCCACTATAGGAATTTGCAGGTAACCCTTGGCCTTCCTTGCTCAGCACCCTGTGGGGCCAGGCCAGGCATCCAGGGTCCTCAGCTGGCTTGTCTCTGACTCCAGCCCCAAGTTCAAGGCCTACTCTGGGAGCAGGCAGCCAACCCTACCCCATGCACACAGGGCTGCCCTCTGCTACTGTGAGTTTCTGTGCCCTCCCACCATGCAGAACTCCCCCTCTACCCACAGAACTGACCCCACCAGTCTGCGCCTTGTGGGGGCTGTCTCCCAAGTGCTTCCAGGGCGTCTATCTTCACTTTCATACTTGACACATTCTGTTTAGGTGGCTTTTTAAAATGCCTGCCTCCCCAGCCACTGTGAGTAGCCTGAGTTAGGCTGCTGTTCACCTGACCCCTCGTGGGGCTGACCCCTTCCCACCAGACCTAGGTGCTCCAGGTATTGGTATTCCTGCTTCTGTTCCTTGGTACAGGGTCCACTGTCATGTTCTGTTTAAATGTGCATGCAGACAGCAGATGTCTGTCACAGACTGTGTACCAGACACTGCTCCAGGAGCTGGGGAGACAGCCACAAAAGCAGACAAAACCCCTGACCTCATGGAGCTCCCATTCTAGTGCAGGAGTCAAGCAATAAATCACAAAAGCGATATAGTAAATTAAAAAGTCACATATATGGGGCGGACATTTGGCCCAGCGGTTGAGATGCCCACATCCCGTATCGGGGTGCCTGGTTCAAGTCCCCACTCCACTTCTGATCCAGCTTCCTGCTAATGCACACCCTGGGTGTGATGGCTTAAGTACTTGAGTCTCTGCCACCCTTGTGGGAGACTTGACTGAGTTCCTGGCCACTGGGACAGCCTGGCCTTGTCCTGCACTGACTGTTGCAGGCATTTGGGAGATGAATCGGCACATGGGAGATCTCTGCCGCTCTGTGTGTGTGTCATTCCGCCTTCAGATAAATAAAAATAGCTTTTTTAAAAAAAAGTAGCATGTAAAAGATATCCTATATACTACATTATAGCCAGTCTACAGTGCCATTTTTGGTGACCAACAAGAAAAAAAATGTTGTCAATTAAATGGTGAGAATCCACCAACTGTGAAATCTATCTCTATTGCAAAGATGTTAACATGTGGAAAAAGGTGTCTTAAAATCAATGAAATAGGGCATAATGTTCTACAATGTCTACCCAACTAACATAGAGTATGTTAGAGTGTGGTTTCATAATGAACTTCTGGTATAAGCTACATTTTGGCAGCTTACCAGAAGGCATGGCGTCTCAAATGTCCGGAATGAGTATCTTGAGACGCCGCCTGCATTTACTACGAGTGATCAGATACGATTGACCCTCAAGGCCTCAAGTCACGCAGTCCTTGTGCTGTCAGCACCCTAATTGCAGCCATGCATTCGGGGTACAGTTCAATTGGTAAACAGGGCCTGACCTAGCAGGTTGTAAACCAGACTCACCTGGGCACTGTTTTGAAGTGCACGTCCCAGGTCAGATATTCAACAGAACTGGAAGTGGGGAGGCAGGGACATGCAATTCGAGAAAGTTCTCCAGATGACTCGAATGCCCTCCCCCCAGTTAAGAAGCTCTGGTCGGGGCTCTCTGGTCTTATAACCCAGGGAACTGAGGCTCAGAGCGAGGCGGCAAGATTCAGCCATTGCAGAGTGAGCCGCTGGGCCCAGCGCTAGATCACTTGATTCTTAATCACTTTCCTCTTTTTACTCTACTAAGCTGGCCCTGGAAACTGAGACCCACGATGTCCTGGCCCGGGTCACCGTTTGTAAGAGGCTGGCGTGGGCCATGCCCAGACTCAGGTCATTTAAGCCTCTTGATTTCCCTCTGGAGAGCAGCTGCCCTGTGCCTGAGGCCACCACCGGGCCCAGAGCAGGGAGTTCAGACTGGGCTCCCCAGAGCCGGCTGAGGACAGTCAGCTGGCCCGAGGACGCTCCCACCCCGGTCCCCCGCGATGGGAGCTTTGGAGTGGCCGGGCTGGGAGCGGCTGTGGAGGTCACCTGGTCCTGCTGCCCCCCCTAACCTTGTTCCCCCTGCCAACTGGCTCCTCTTCAAAACATGGCTTCCTGGATTCGACCCTGCCCCTTCACTCGCTTCCTCATCCTCTCTGGGCCCGGCCTGAGAGTCTGCATTTTAAGCAGTCTGTCCAGTGCCTTCTGACGTGTCGCTGTAGGAACCTTCTCTCTCAGGCAGACTGTGACGCCCTCAGGGAGACGAGACCACACAGCTCAGGGTCACCCAGGGAGTTAGCAAGTGTTCAGACTCGCCAGGGCTTCTACTTCCAAATCCTGTTTTCTCCAGGGCAGTGGCCTTCCCGTGCTTTGAGCCTCTGGGTCAGACCCCTTGACCAACTGCCGTTCCCCATCCCCCCACCGCAGGCCAGAGCCCCTCCTCGGATTCTCTAGGCATGTGTAGATGCTGGCTAATGGCCCCCCCCCGCGCCATGCTGCCCAAACTGTGCACCTGCTGGGGAGCCAGTGCCTCTGCCACAGGCTTCCTAGATAGGGTTTCTGGTAGCCTTGACAGCATGTCTCAGTCCTCACAGCTTCACCCACCTCACCCCCGGATACACGTGTGGAAAGGGAAAAATTCAGACCCAAGCAAGTGGGTGCTGGCTGACACCCAAGCCAGACACATGTAAACTTAGCAGCCACCAGGATTCCTTGAGGAGGGGTCGGGATGGCTCTTGGAGGCAGGGAGCAGGTGGGAGGAGCCTCCATTCTCTGACCTTCCCCTGCTGTGCCCACTGCAGGTCAAGGCTCTGGGAGAACCACCCGGAGTGACCTGGGACCGCAGGTGGACGCAGCGCTAGATGGGCAGAGCAGACCCTTGCCCTGAGAAAGAGCAGGCCTGCACACACGGTGCACTGCCTCCCTCAGTGCGCCTTTTCCCACCACTCAGATGAACCCAGGCTCCGCATCAGCAGCCTTGACCATGGACGTCTGCAGGTGCCCGCTCCCCATCAAGCTGCACCCGGCCCTGAAAGCCAGCCAGTCTCTTCTGTGGAACAAGAGGGCAGCCCCGGGCTTTCCACATACATCCTCTCATGTGACCCTGGTTGTCGCCCCGGGAGGGGGGAGGTGGGAGACACTGTCATCCCATTTCACGGATTAGGACTGTGAGGCTGTGAGGAGACCCACATGCCTGAGTGTTTACCCTGTGCCAGGCACCGAGCCAGATGCTTTGTGCAGCTTCTCTCCAGCTTCACAACTCCCCCCCCCCCCAAATGTGGGAGTCACTGCTGCTACCCTCACCCCACCGACGTCCGAGTTAGTGGGTGACGTGCCGGCCGAGCTGGGATTTGAACCCTGGTCATTTGAGAGCAGAGCTCACACACTGTGCCGGACGGAATGCTTCTGACTCCTGATCTAGTGCTCTGTGCACCTGCTGCCCCTGATCCCGTCTCACCATGTCCACTGCGGACGCTGCACGGCCTCCTGACCTGGCTCACCTAGTTGGGCCGGGGGCCAGTCGTAGCAGCGAGTGTTCAGGGACTGTGTGGAAGCAGCCCCAGCTACAGCGCTGACATGTGCATGCTGGAATCCGTGGAAGGAGCTCCAGGACCCTCCCCACCGGCTGCCCTGGCAGGAAACGGGTTACCAAGAGTCTCTGTGCTGCCGCTGCCCAATAGCTGTGGGCCAGGGCTCATCTTCTCCCGCCCTCCCACGTGGACCCGCTGCCTGCTCTCTCTGGAAAGCAGGTAGAGTTGCCATGAGGATTAAGTGAGTTTGTAGAAGCCAAGCAGTTAGAACAGTGCCTGGCTGTGGAAGTGTTTGCTATTGTTAGTATCTGGACTTTGTGTTTTTCCTACGACAGGCACGTACGAGTTGTCAACTAACCTAGGAGGGCCTTAGCATGGGTCCCGCAGCCCCAGAAGGATGCCAGGGAAGGGTGGCCCACCCATGGGACACAGGTGACAGGAGAGGGGGCCTGTCACCCCGCTTGCTCTCCACCTGCTGCCACTCACGCCTCCCTGCCTCCTTGTCCCTGTCTTTGCACCGCAGAAGTACTTGTCCCAGCTGGCCGAGGAGGGCCTGAAGGAGCCCGAGGGGGCAGGCAGCCCCAGGCCCGAGGACAGCGGAATCGTGCCGCACTTTGACAGGAAAAAGCCCTGATGTTTCTGCCGCCGCCGCTGCCGCCGCTGCCACTGCTGCTGCTGCTGCTGGGGGGTAAGAAGGACCTGCTACGGGCCTCGCCCTGCGCCAGACAGGCCTGATCCCGATCGGAAGGAGAGCCTGGCAGAGATGTGTAGAGCGTCTGAAGTGCCTCCAGGAACCGTGTCACCCGGCTCCTGGCCTGGCCGCAGCGGTCACCACCCCGCTCCTGGGGGACCTGGCCTCTTTCCAACAGCCTTTCAGTTCACTGCTCGCCCCCCCCCAACCCCTGCATCTCCCGCCCTCACCCCCTCCCTGGGCCAAGGAGTGTTTCTTTTTCACAAAAGCCAGCTTCTCAGGGATCTTCACAGTGCCCGAATTCTTGCTGGGATAGAACAGGCCAGGCCAGGCTGCCATGCACGGCCAAGTTTAGCAGCAACGCCTGTGTCAAGAGAAGCACTTCAGGGCCTCAGTGCGCCTTCTCCGCCTGGCGTCTGCGTGTCTGCGCGGGGCAGCTGAGGGGGCCCCTGCGGTCCCAAGACGGGCACAGAAGATAATCAGAGGGCAGAGGCCGGGGCTGGCTTCCTGAACCCCTTCCCCCAGCTGCACCACCTTTTGGAAGAACTCCAGTTTTTGCTAACTCTCCTAGAAGTCTGCCAGAGTCATGCCTTAAACGGAAATTAAGTGCATTTTTATGGAGAAAGAAAAGAACCCTACATTTTGGAAGCCCAGATCAATTTCATCCAAATTTCCCTCCATCAGCAGATGTCAGGGTTTGCCCTCTCCTGAGCGATGAATTGGATATGGAGCCGCTTCACTTAAAAATGAAATCAAAAATGCCTTCTCCCTGCAGCCGAGACGGCTGCTGCCGAGGCTTAGGTCTGCAAGGGTGGCATCAGCTCCAGTGATAGTGGCGAGGAGGTGGCCCTGGCCTTGGTTTCCCCTTGGTGCCTGCACCCCAGGTGCACTGACCTCCCCCGAGTGGCCCCCGAGCGCAGGAGAAGTGAAGGAAGAGAGGGCTGTAGGTGTTTGTAGGTGGGTCCCTTCCAGCCTGGGCAGGGGGCGAGGGCTCCCGGCGCTGACCGCACGGGCCGGCTTGGATGGCAGAATGCTGCAGAGGACAGAGCCCTCATCCCCACACCGCCCCGTGCTGTGCCCCGGCCGGGGGAGCGGGGTCTCGAGGTGGTTGTTCCTTCGGCAGGGGCTGGAACAGAGGTGTCGGGGCGCAGGAGGCACTATGTAGCTATCGGGTGGACCCTGGAAGTCAGCCGGGAGCCTCGTGCTGTTTCCTGGGCCGAGACACTCCTCTGCAGGTGCCTTCTGGGGCTCAGCCTGTGAAAAGTAAAATAAGGGGGAGGGGTCTCCCTCCCAGGGGTCCCCCCCAGGAGATTGCTGTTTGCGTTCCTGACTGTGGCCAGGAACGCTGGGAAGGGGTTGTGCGGGGTTCTTGTTTCTGCAGTTTTCTTTTAATGGTAGCTCAGAGCACCCTGCACCTTCTGTCCTCTGCACCAGTGGAAGAGGGGGTGGCGAGATGCTCAAGTTCACGCTGACGGGTTGGGGGGAAACCGAGGCACGGGAAGGAAACCAGGGTGGAACCGACAGTGATCACTGTCAGCTGAGCGTGAGGCTTCTGGCGGTCGCCGCTGAGGAGAGAGCGGTTGGGAGCCTGGGAGAGGAGAGCTATGCACGTACCAGGCAGGGCTGCTGGGACAGGTGTGCTGAAGAGAGGCTGAAGAGGAAGGAACCCCGCCCCCCCCACTCTCCCCCAGAGAAGGCTGGGCTCTCCGGCCCAGACCCTCCCCGGGCTGACTCTGCTGGTTTTAACGCCGCACTCTGACTACAGCTACGCTGCTTCCATTTCCCAGAAAGCTGCGCCCTGTGCGTCTCATCCCTCCGGGGGCGAGGCTGGGGCAGCCCTGTGGCCTCCCTGCTGAACTTTGCTGGGAAAAACCTTCAGCCTCCATGAGAGGCGCTGAAGGCACCATCCCTGCAAAGTGGGCGCAGCCCCTCCTCCGCGGCGTTCCCATGGAAACCCAGATGGCCAGGTCCCCCAGCGATGTCCTGGCTCCCTTGCTGAAACACTGACCGTCTTCCTGGAGGAAGCCGGAGGAGCCCCTGGAAGGGAGAGCGGAGAGGTTCTCTGTGCATTCGTTGAGAACCCTCAGTTTAAAACCCTGTAAGATTCTCTACTTGGGTGTACATAGGTAACTTATTTTATTTATTTTTGTACAATTCCATCAGCATGGCCCTTCACCGACCCTATCATTCGCACTTCTGATTCCTATGGATGTCACACGGTGCAGCAGTAAAAGCCACTGGGAAAGGCTGATTTCGTGGAGCTTTTCCTCAGTGTTTGTCACCCACTTCAGTGTCTCACCAGAAAACTGCTCAAGGGCGGTTGCTCCCTTGAGTGGCAGATTCACTTCTGCTCTGGGTTATTCTAACAAAAGGCCTGTGCAATTTTCTTTTTGTTGTGACCACCTGCAAAAAAGTAGATCCAGACAATATTCCCAAAGAATTTGGCGACCTTGGCGTTGGCGTGAGCAGCAGCCGTTAGTGTCAGTTTCCCATTTTCAGACAGTCCGAGGCCGTGATCAGTTAGATTGTACTTGAACTGGACCAGAGTTTGTTTTGTGACTTCATGGAAAACAAACAGAAAAACAAACCCACTAGTTAATTTAAGTTTGAACTTGTAAAGTGTTGGAATTTGTTGAGTGTCTCATAAATTGTCACCACTTTTCCTTATCTGTATAACTGACCGCGAAGTGTTTTTACAAAAGGAAAAACCTGATTTTTAATAAAGAGAATTTGAAAGCTTGTGAGTAAGTGGCCGTGGCTCACACGTTTGGCTGGCGCCTGGGGGGAGTGGGACTCACTGAGCACACAGCTGGGCTTTGGTGCTTCTGAACCACAATGTTTTACGTCCACCTGGTTAGAGCAGCACAGGGCTCGGGTTCTCGGGGCTTGGTCCCCAGCGCCGGAACCTAACAAAGCTGGGAGCTCCCGGCTGGGAGGCTCAAGCAGAAAGCCCTCTGGGCCACGTTTAAATCCCTAGCCTTGCTACGGTTGTTGCCTGGTCTCCAGTGCTGCACTGGGGTCAGGCTGTTCCCGGCTACTCCATCCCCCGGGAAGATGAAGCTGTGGTGGTTAGCCCGGTAGCAGAGATCGGAGGCCTGGCCCTGCCTCTCTCAGCCGCATGACTCCAAGGCCGGCTTCCTTGTTATAAAAGAGGTTAATGATCATAATCGCCTCCCGGGCTTGTTTCCGGGTGAAGATAATTGCTGGTGAAAGCACTTGGTAAGCTGCATAGCGCTGCACCGTGTGTGTGTTTGTGATCTGTGTGTTGGACGGCAACCTCCATATTTCCAGGGTCAAGTTCTTTTTTAACCGTTTCTTCTGGTAAAACAGTGCAGTCTCCTGGTGTAGCTGGCCAGTTCTTTGAGTGGCCTGCAAGCTCCTCTGGCTCCTTCCCTCTTGTTGACGGTGCTCCTGAGTCAACCGGGAGGGGCTGGGCAGCTGGACCCAGGGGCGGAGAGAGTGGGGCCGCCCACCCGCGATGACGGGGAGCGCTTGTGGATCTGAGTGAAGTTCCTGCTCAGCCTGTTGGCTGCTCTCCGGCCCACCTCTACCCGCTGTGGCCACACTTGGGCCAAGCTCACGCCTCCAGTTCCCAGCCTCCTCTGTGGTGCTATCGGGGACACGTTGGCCAAAGGGCCTGGAGCTCATCCTGCTGCCCTAAGTTCAGGATCCAGGATGTCTGGGGGGTGTCCCTGGGGCCTGGGGGAATTCCTTCATGTCACTCTATGTGGCACAACTCTGGGAAGCCTCAGCTGATGGTGACCTGTACCAGGGCCCTCCTGCAAGTTGTGCAGGTACCCCCCCTCCCCCAGGCCTGGCTGTTGTCCCTGTGGATCCTCCAGGCTGGTTCTGAGCCAGCCCACTGGGCGGGAGCCCCTGCGCCCTTCCTGCCCACCTTTCCAGGAATAGACTCCAGGCTGCCCCTGCCTGACTGGCACAGCCTGCGCACTGGGCTGTGCGCCCCTCACAGCGCCGCACATGTCAGGCCTCTTAGGTTCCAGTGCTGGCTCCGTCCAGCCCAGCCCCTCTGTGCTCCTGTGACATCAGTCACAAGCACGGATCCTCTCCCTCGGCAGTGACAGACACCTGCCCCTGGGAGCAGCCTGTTCTCTTTGGCTGTCACAATGGCCCCGCACCAGCTCCTGGCCCAAGTGCAATTCCAAGCAGCTCACAGCAGGATGGCCACAGAGACCCCCAAGTCTTGGCCCTTCCTTTTCAAGTGAGGAAACAGGCGCATGGAGGGGAAGTGACATGCCTAAAGCCACATTGCTATTAGTTTAGGGCCAGGACTGGAATTCCTCCTGGGTCGTTCTGCAGGGGCCACGTGGGCAGTTTCGATGACTGTTAGATTATTCTATGAATTTTCCAGGTCTAGCCCTAGCTGGACTTTGGTACTCGCTCAGCAGGGACTCATGACGATTATTGATTAGCATACTTTGTGGACATCAGAATTGTCTGGAGAGGGGCTAGCATGGTGACGTAGCAGGCAAAGCTGCCACGTGCGACGCCAGCATCCTATACGGGCGCAAGTTCATGCCCTGGCTGCTCCGCTTCCAATCCAGCTCCCTGCTACTGGCCTGGAAAAAGCAGCAGCAGATTTGGATCTGTGCTACTCTCATGGGAGATCTGGAGGAAGCGTCTGGCTCCTGGCTTTGGACTGGCCTAATGCTGGCTGTCGCGACCGACCGGGGAGTGAACCGGCAGATGGAGGATCTTTCTGTGGCTCTCCTCTCTCTTTCTAACTCTTGACTTTCAAATTAATTAATTAATTAATCTTTTTTTTTTTATTGCCTGGGGAGCTTGCTAGAAATACAGTGCCCCCTCCCCTCGTCACCCGCATGGAGATTGTGGCCGCCGGTGAGGAAAGGGGCCCGGGCATGGGCATTTGGCTGCCGGATGGGGCTGTGCAGGTGGAGCCCACTCAACACACTCTGACAAACTCTGCCCTCAGTGTCCCCCAGGGGCTTCCTCAGCAGCTTCTAGAACAGAAGGGGCATCTACCCGCTGGGGGGATGTGAAGGGAGACCATTCCAGTGTGAAAGGGGCTCGACAGTGGGGGCAGAGGACAGGAGACCCTGTGGCCTTGGCGGACGGGGTGTGGGAGCTGGGGCGGGGGAGGCTGTCGGGGCCATGTGCCAGGAGTTTTGCAGCTGGATTCACATGTGCTGTCTCACTGCGCGTAGGCAAAAGTCAGCTTTCCAGGGCTGCTGGAGCTCCTCGCCGGCTGGAAGTGCCGCGGCCGATGAGGGGGCTCCTGGTGCCCTGGTGAGAGCCGCTGAGGACAGAGCGCGCCACAGAGGCAGCGGGCCTTCTGGGAGGGGCCCCGGGGCCTTGTCGCCAGCAGAGAGGGACCTGGGGATCACACGCGCTTTCTCTCTCGCCCTCCGTGGCCACGACTCCTACTGGTGCCGTGAGCCCTGCTGACTCCTGAGCCCAGCTACATGGCGCACTGTGTGTGTGCCCTGTGCTGAGAGACAGGTCCTGTGGTTCTCCCTAGTTCCCTGCTTGGGAAAAGGAGGTTCAGAGGGGCAGAGCGGTTTGCCGGGGGCATCGAGCCAGTGACGAGCAGAATTGGGATTCGAACCCAGGACCCAACCTATACTCCTTACCACTGTGAGTGTTCTCCACTGCCTGTGTTAGGGCTGGGACTTGTCTTGTTTCTGCATTTCCCTAAAGTCCCAGCCCCTGGTCCTGCAGGAGAGACAGGCCTGGGACACAGGAGGACTGAGTTCAGCTGTACCGGGAATGCTTGTGAACTCCCTTCTTAGGAAGTAGATCAAGAAAAACAGCGCCCGCCCTCCCCCAAAACTGGAGGCAAGCGGGCAAGGAGGCCGAGGACGCGTGGGTTCTTTCTTCTCACTTGGAGGAATTCTGCCAGAGGAGCTGCTCTGCGCGCAGGGAATGAGGAGGTCCCTGTGGCTGCCCGGGTCCTCCTCCTTCAGGGAGGAGAGGAAGGTACCCTGCTCCCTGTTCCCGGGGTCCCGGCCACACTGTGAGACGCTCAGCAGAGAGCTCCCCTGGCCCCAGAATGCCAGCCATCGCTTTGTACTTGCCTCCTCTCCTTGAGTAAAATGCGATGATTTACTTACCTGCCACCTTGTTCTGACGAGGAGTTGAGACGATGTACAACACAGGCCAGGAGTGACCAGACTAAGCCAATGCAAACAGTTTTAATGAGGCTTAAAGAATATTGTGGGTGACACGTGTGCAGTCCATGAGCTGCCAGCAAAGTGGTGAGCGCGAGTTGTGACTAAGAGCCTCCTGGGAGGCAAGGCAAAAAGAGGAAGTATGCTTCGTTGACCTGGCGGGAGCGTGGGGGAGATTGTTCTGCCCTGCTGTGCAATCTGGAAGACTGGTCCCGTGGGACTGTGCCCAGCATGGGCAGAGGCTCCGAGCGGTGCTGAGAGTCCTCGGGAGCTGCTGGCCGACGCTGGAGGAGGCTGCAGGGGAGGCCCTCTGGAGGGGACCCTGCGCACTGCGCAGTCCCTGTGACGTGTTTCCTGATGGCAGGGTGACACCGCCCATGGCCCCCCGCCCAGCCCACTGAGAGTGAGTATGCTGGCTTGGGTTTGTGAGAGGGGTCATTTTGTTCTCAAACTGTTTTTCAAATTTCTCCTGTCCACTGGTTGAATTTCCAGGCCCCAGAGTCGGTGGGACAAGGATGAAACCACCTCCGTGCCGGCCATCTGACCGTCCTGCCCCCTCAGAGAGCTCTGGGTAGGGACCCTGCCCGTTTGGGTTCTGGCGCGGGTTCTCCAGCACTTACTTTTCGGGGTTCCCTGCAGGAGGGAGCCCAGCGTGACTGGCAGGTGCTGCCTCCCTCAGGCCAGGCTGGGAACTGCCCTCAGACCTGCCTGATCAGGAGTGGACCCCCGGTCTCTACCCTCCTTCAGGCTGGGAAGGAAAGAGCTTTCTGGCTCGGGGACAGGTCTCTGTGCTGACAATCAGTATCTCTTCCTAGGTCAATTCGCCGTGAACTCACTCGGAGGCGACGCCACCAGCGTCTCCCGCCCTGTGCCTTTGATGCGTGTCCTGTGCTTGCCTGTGGGTGCTGAGAGCTGAGAGGAGTGGAGACCCACTGGCAGTCACGAGGTGAGGGCTGGTCGCTTCGCGCCCTGAGCTGTCCCACAGCCCTGGTAGTTCAGGCCAGAGGCCTGTGGAGGGGCGTGGGCCTTGTTACCACCACCCCCCCTTAGGGGAATCCACCATCAGGGGCAAACCAAGTGCCTCCATGGGGTGGGTGTCCCCAGGGCCGCCCACCCAGGTCTCTGCAGCATTGATCTCGTGGGCAGCTCCTGTGCCTTAGCTTGGCACACAGCCAAGCCCCCCAACAAAGATTTATTTATTTATTTGAAAAGCCAAGTTACAGAGAGAGAGGGAGAGACAGGAGACAGAGGTCTTCTATCCACTGGTTCACTGCCCAAACGGCTGCAACAGCTGGAGCTGGGCTGACCCGTAGCCAGGAGCTTCTTCCAAGTCTCCCACATGGGCACAGGGGCGCAGCACTCGGGCCATCTTCAGCACTGCTTTCCCAGGTGCATTAGCAGAGAGCTGGATCAGAAGTGGAACAGCTGGGACTCAAACTGGTGCCCAGAAGAGATGCCGGCCCTGCAGGCAGTGGCCCAACCCACAGAGCTGGCCCCCAGCCAATCCTCCTTAATGCCGGCTTTTTCTCCACTTTTTCTCCACTGACCGAGTCCCCCTCGCAGCCTCCAGGTGGGCTTCAGCCACACCCCTGCCTCGCACGTCCCCAGACTGCCTGCAGTGTCCTTCCACTTTCTCCTTGCTTGGCCACTACAGCCACCTTCAACCTTCTACATGAGCGTGCCCTGCTTTCTGCAGCCTTCCTTGAGCCCCGTGGGCTCCCCACCTGTGTCCCTGTTCCCCCACAGGCCCCCAGAATGCTTTGTACCCTGAGCCCAGACACGGACACATAGGCCACTCTTCCCCGGCCGGTATCGCGTTGCCTTGGGCTCTGCTGTCGGTTTGCCCCTAAGCAGTCAGGTGTCTGCAAGGGCAGGGAGGGCTTCCTGCTCCCCCTGTGCCCAGCACGGAGCAGGTATCAGAGAATGGGGGTGGAAGGACTAAGCAGCCCCCTTGCCTGTCCCTGGGACGAGCTGGAGCCACAGGCTCTGAACCCCAGGCCTCAGCACAGTCACTACCTACCGTGAGGACCGGCTTGGGAGCAGGGTGGGTCCTTGGAGCAGTACCAGACAACACCCCACCCTTACACCAGCCCCTGCCTTGGCCCAGCCCGGTCACCCCACGGCAGGGCTGGGAGTTGGGGCTGACGGCTGGGGACACAGCCCTGCTTGTGTGCTCCAGCGCAGCCTTTTCATAGCCGGACTCTCCTCTGGCCACAGAGCAGGCCTCAGCTCTCTGTCCCCCCGGGACATCTTGTCCCCAAACCGGTCTGTCCTCACTCCACATCCCCACCTAGCCAGGCCCACCCAGTTCTCCCCGTCCTTCCTGGGCCTCACTGGGAACACAGCAGGGTTTATGACGGCAGTGTCAACACTGGGAGGGTGGCCTCGGCTCACCCTGCCTTGGAAGCCACACCTTCGCCTGCTGCCCACACCTCATCCACGTCTCCTGCAGCCTGCAGGGAGGCTGCTGGCTCCCTCCTCTCCCGGCACCTGGGAGCCACTGAGGGGCTTGGGTCATGGAGGGAGAACCTCATAGTCCTGGGAGACCGAGACCTTGTCTATAGAGATTAGGCTGGCTAGAGGATTAATCATTAAACCCGACCCATTTGCTGTCCTCTCCCCCTGCTCTCCTGCAAGGGGCGGGGCGGAGAAGGAGGCCCTGGAGCAGATCCCCTAGGGAGCACGGCCTCGTAGCCGCAGGGCCTTTTGCCCACCTCCCCGAGATCTGCAAGCCCACCTCGTGCACACAGCCTGTCTGCCTTTCCCGAGCAGCCCTGAGCTCTGAGCAGACCTTGGGCAGGCCTGGGTGCAGCCAGCCTCGGCGGCCGCTCTGGGAGAGGCTTTGGGGATCCCATAGGCTGCAGCTGCAACTGTGTTGACACACACTCCCCCCCCCCCCCCCAGCTCCTCCTCAGACCGGCTCTCCCCTTGCTCGTTTCTACCCCCGCTGCCCAGCGCCCTACCGAGGGAAGCATGCCTGGCCTCCTGCTGGCTTCCCGCCTGCTCCTGGCACTGGCGGGGCGGGGGGGGGGGGGCGGGGGCTGGCAGGCCAGGCTGCAGCGCACCCCCATCCTTGGGGCCCCTGTGGTCTCCCAAGAGTACTTCTCCAGCTGCGAGAACCCTGCAGACAGCTTGGAGGCAGGAAGCCCTAGCACCCCCTTGCAGCTATGCAGCTAGGCTGCCACAGTGGGGCCCTCTCCCCCGCAGGCTCTTCCCCCGGCTTTTCCTGGATTTTCTCTAAGATCCCGGGAAACACAATCTCCTTCCCTCGTCTTCTCCCCTCCAGCTCCATCTCTCCGGCGTCGTGAGGACTCCTTCACCCCGCAGAGGCCATCCTTCTGTGCTTATGTTTATTTGCAGGTAGGGATAGGGGCGGGTCCTTCCCCCTTCTGTGCTCCAGCCTCAAGCCAGCCCAGCTAAGGCCCTTGAGCTCTGGGCTGAGACGAGTCACCTGAGCTCCCTGCAGCCCAGTCTCCCCATCTGGGCCAGCTGGCCAGCCCGCAGCAGTTGTCTTCCTGTCTTCCTCTTCCACTGATCTGCTGGACCACCTCCCCCCGCCACCACATCCTTGGAAAAGAGGCAGCCATCCTGGCCCCACGTGCCTCCCTCCTGGCGTGGTGTGAGGTAGCGGAGAAGTCTTTGACCTGTTGTTTACGCAGGTGCACGGGCATGTGTGCATGTGTCTGTGTAAGTGTGCTTGTGCCCATGTGAAGCAGTCGCAGCTGGAGGTGTTAACACCTGAGTGCTCCCAGGATGCTCTGTCGTAGGTGAACTGTTACAGTCGCAGAGGGGCGGGCGGCTGCCGGAGCGAGTCTTGTGGGTTCTTTTCCTCAGCTTAGTATAGAAATAAAAAGCCGGGAGACAGTTAGCAAAGAGGCAGAAACTTTTATTAGACAGAAAAGAAACTTTTGTTTCATAGGCAAGCGACACTGGCTCTGAGGAAGTGCCCGGGTCTTTAAGGCATTACTGTCATTCTGTAGGGGTGCCCATTGGACAGGGCTTTCACATGCTGTGTGCTGATTGGCTTGGGGCTCATGAGCTAGCAGGAGTCTCCTGGAGACAGTCTGCCTCTCCCCAGGGGCTCAGCCCCCTCCTCTGCCAACTCTGGGTGAAAGATTGCAGCCACCTGAGGGAGGGATTTAAAGTGGCAAGGTCACGCATGCAACGCAAGAAGCTGTTGGTGGGGGAAATGCCGATCAGTCAGTCGGTCTGGAGACAACTTTCCAGCCCCAGCCGGCAGCCTGCCTGTGAAGGATGTTCTACCCAGGTCTGGGGGCCCACAGACTCCCCACCCCCAGCTTCAGGAGCTCCCATCCGTTCTGGCCCTCGGGCAGCATGGTGCACCCACCCCCATCCACCTGGATACTCTGATTCTGAGTCAAACGATTATTCCTGTGAGACTATTCAAAGCCTCTTCCCTCCCTCCCCCCGGCCTTAGCTGCAAGCTCTCCGTCCTTTCTCTTTCCTGTTCATCGAGACTGTCCGTACGGAGTGGGGAAGAAGCAGAGGAGCAGGGCTGGGCATATGAGCAGTGAAGAAGCTGAGTTCGTCCCCCAGACAAGGAGGGAAAAGAGGGAGCGAGAGCAAGGTGGGGAGGAGAAAGAGAACTCTCTGGGGAAGATGTCAGGGAAGTTTTGCAGAGTTTGGGTGCAGAGTAGAGTGTGAGAGCTGGAGAGAGAGGCTTTGGGCAGCTGCACAGCAGCAGAGCGCTGGAAACGGAGAGATCGACGCAGGGCGCAGGGACTTTGTTGCTGTGGTTTACAAAGCTGATGTCACTTTATGACCCAAATAATATTCTTCATCTCATCAAAGGCAGCTCGGATCATAAATCTCATCTTTGTTGTTTGCACAAGTACAAAGGCAAATAACACTGCCAGTTAAACTCTACTGTGCTAATCATTTGTGAGATGCATCTGGGTTTCAGGAATGTTAAAAAAGGAAAAAATGAGACCAGCACCGCGGCTCACTAGGCTAATCCTCTGCCTGTGGCACCGACACACCAGGTTCTAGTCCCGGTTGGGGCACCAGATTCTGTCCCAGTTGTCCCTCTTCCAGTCCAGCTCTCTGCTGTGGCCAGGGAGTGCAGTGGAGGATGGCCCAAGTGCTTGGGCCCTGCACCTGCATGGGAGACCAGGAAAAGCACCTGGCTCCTGGCTTCGGATTGGCACAGCTCGCCAGCCACAGTGCGCCGGCCTTAGTAGCCATTTGGGGGGTGAAGCAACAGAAAAGGAAGACCTTTCTCTCTCTCTCTCTCACTGTCTAAAATCTGTCAAAAAAAAAAAAGAAAAAATTGTGTGTTTAAGATGTATGAATATAGCACCATTGCTTTACATTTTTAAAATGGAACAGTGTGCTGGGACTGGACTGTGTGGAGCTCTTAAAGGTATTCATTTTTTTTTTTTTTCAAAAAGAGATTTATTTGAAGGGGCAGCAGAGAGAGAGAGAGAGAGAGAGAGAGAATATGTTCCATCCCCTGGCTCATTCCCCAGATGTCTGCATTGGCTGGGACTGGGCCAGGCCAAAGCCAGGAAACTGGAACTCCATCCGAGTCTCCCCTGTGGGTGGAAGGAACCCAAGAAATTGGCCATCTTCTGCTGTTTTCCTGGGTGCATTAGCAGCAAGCTGGGTTGGAAGCCAAGTGGCTTGAACTTGAACTGGTGCTCCAGTATGGACTGTGGGGCCCAAGTGGCAGCTTAACCCACTGCACCACAAGGCCGGCCCCTTCCATGCACTGGGAGTCCCATGGTGTGCATGTCGGTCTCCTTGCCCCCACCCTGTGCTCTCTGACCTGACTCAAGGAGGAACTCAGTTACTCAAGTTTTGTGGAGCAATCGTATCCTGTCAGGGGGCTGCAGCCAAGTGCTCTCCATAAGTCTGCATAGATTTTTTCCACTGTAACGACATTCTGAAAGCTGGATGGAGAAACAGCTGCACGTGCACGCTCGCACCCACCCCGCATCCGCGTGCCCACACCACAGTCTGGACATCTGGGTGGTCACAGGGACTGGATGTGAGGCCCCTGAGAATGCTGGCCTTCAGGATGGCGTTGGTGCCAGTAGCGTACGGATTGCTCTGATTATCCGAGGCTCTTGAGGAAAGCGTGACAAGAACACAGGACACAAAGAGCACGTTTGTGCATGCATGCGCGGGGGCGGTTTGCGGTGGTTTTAGAAAGAAATGTGGCAGTGATTGAGAGCATGAGACAGGTCCGATTGACGGTGGGGAGAAAGAGGCTTTATGGCGGAGCCCCCAGAGACTGCCACCATTTACAGCACGCGCAGAGGAGCCCGAGAAATGGCTGCTGGAGAATTCGGAGGAAGTGTGGGCAAGTGGTACATCCAGGAGACCCAAGAAAGTGGGCACTGCAAGAAGGGGGAGTTTGGGTCACCAGACTGAATGCTCGTGCGAGGTTCGAGTAGCCGAGCTTATCAGCAACTCTGATTGCCCGCGCGCATAGAAGGTGCAGAGTTGTAAGTGAGAAGAGTGGAGAAGCCTCGCCTGGTAGAACTGCGTGTGAGAGTGTCGTGTGACACCTGGGATGCCTGGCGGCCATAGTGATTCACGCCGACTTGTGGGTGGTCTGCACAGCCATTCTCCATCTCCAGCTTCTGCTCTGGGAGTCCCCCCAGCCCTTCCCCACCGATTGTCTCTGAAGATCCACTGGGCTCCCATTCTCGAGTCGAGCCTGACCAAGTTAGGAAACACCTAAAGACAGGACTCCCTGCTGTTGTCGAAAGGAATTTCAGAAATGCCCAGCCCTGCAGACACGCACACAAGCTGACCAAGCCTGGCCTGCTCACTGATCCTGCCTGCTGAGTTAATGAGCTGCCATAGTGGCTGCAGAACTGGTACCCTCTGACAGGGCTCCTGCCCGGGAACCTTCTGCTCAGCTGTAATCCATTCACCTGCCCAGTGCGAGCCTCAGACTCCCCCAGGAAAGAGCCCAGATCCTGGCCCCGGCACTTATCTCTTCCCTCTTCTTCCTGCAAGAAAACCACTGCTTCTTACGGAGACGCATGGCCTGGAGTTTGGACGGGTTGGTCTGTTCCGCCCTCCTCAGCGAGCTGCTCATGTGGGCCAGGTGATCAGAGTGCCTTATCCTCCGTTGCACAGCGATCGATCTGGGGAGAGGCGCATGACCCAAATGAGCCCATCAAAATTTTCCCCGTGGGGCAGGCTTTTGGCATAATAGTTACAGTACTGCTTGGGATGGCCACATCTCATATTGGAGCGCCTGGGTCCAAGTCCTGGCTCTGCTTCTGACACCAACTTCCAGCTGGTACATAGGTTGGGAGGCAACAGGTGATAGCTCAAATAATTAGGTCCCTGCCACCCATGTAGAAGACCTAGATGGAGTTTGCAGCTCCTGGCTTCAGCCTGGCCGAACCCCAGATGTTGTGCACATCTGGGACATGTACCAGCAAATGGGAGTATATCTCTCTGCCCTTCAAATGAGTAAAATAAATTTAAAATTTATTAAAAGCAATCTTCCCTTGCTAGCTCTAAGTCAAAGTGTTTCTGTAAGTGTGGTCTGGAGATCTCTGTATGAGGCCAAAGCTATTTTTATAACCGTACTGAGCTTTTACTTGCCCTTTTTTTTTTTTTTACTGTGTTGACGTTTTGCACTAATGGTGCAAAAACAAGGGTGGGTAAGATTCCTGGCACCTTTGCTTTTGAGTGGGAAGGAGCTCAGATACAGGGAGCTGAGCAGTAGTCATGTGGCACCCAGGCTGTCCTTACCTTGTCCTGGTGTGTCACTGGTCCGTCACCTCCAGGGCACCATGGATAACTAGGAAGTCTACAGGAGTGGTCCCACCAGAATGGTTCATTGCACAACCTACACGGCCACACTCAAAAGTCCTAAAAACTGTAGTCCCCAAACTGTGTTCTGTGTTCCTCTGATGCCACACGATGCCCCTCACGGAAGGATGCCATAGTTAAATATGCTTGGCAAGACTGCGTTCTGTAATTCCCTCCCTTGGAGATTATCAGTGGCTATCTGCACTCCCACGGGTCTCACAGTGACATAACCTATTTTCTTTATTAAATCTTTCTTTCCCCAACTATTTTACCATGCAATCATTTTGATTCTAGAAATAGTTACAATATGCCATGGACTATGGGCTTTAGCATAGAACTTTTGGACTGTACAGTCGGCCCTCTGTGAGTTCTGCATCTGAGGATTCAACCAACCATGGACTGAAAACATTAAAAAGAAAAGGTGCAGGGGCTGCTAGCATGGTGCAGAAGGTTAAGCCACAGCCTGAGACACTGGCATCCCACATGAGCACTGGTTCAAGTCCCAGCTGCTCCACTTCTGATCCAGTTCCCTGCTAATGCACCTGGGGAAGCAGTGGAAGATGGCCCTAATTCTTGGGCCCCTACCACCCACTTGGGAGACCCAGTTAGAGTTCAGGCTCCTGGTTTTGGCCTGGTCCTGTCCTGGCCATTGCAGCCATCTGGGAAATGAACCAGCAGATGGAAGATTTCTGTCTGTAACTCTGCCTTTCAAATTAAATAAATAAATCTTAAAAAAAAAGAGTGCATGTATTGAATAGGTACATGTTTTCTTGTCTGCAAAAAATGTTTATTCTCTAAACAATAAGGATAATAACTTTATATAGTATTTACCTTGTATTAGTTATTACATCTAGAGATGATTTAAAGTAGGATGATGTATAGGATGATATGTATAGGTTCTATGCAAATACAGCACTGGTTTTCACAGGGGACTTGAGCATCCTCAAGACTTTGGTATGCATGGGGTCTTGGAGCCCACCCCCAACAGGTATTGAGGGAGGATATGCTTTAAACTCCATGAGACCGGGAACTGTGCTTGTCTTATTCTCCACAGTATACTCAGGGCCTGATAGAGTGCCTGACACATCACAGATCCTTGAAAAACCCGTTGAATAAATTAAAGGGTCAATGATTGATGGATGCTTTCACTAGTCCCTGATCCCCTTAAGATTCTCTATGTTTACAAAAACTGAGGTCCTTGTAGTGCATTATTTATGTTGTTTTGCCAGCAATAAATTTTGTGCTCTTGTCTCCCGAAAATGATACGTTTTTCAGGATGCAATGACATTTAGGTATTTAAATTTGTTCCCTCTGTGTGCGAGGCTGGGCAAGCACAACTGTTTCCCATTAAGCCAGTCCTCTGAGGCCTCCCTCCTCTCTGCGGTCTGGGCTGGAGAAGCAGCACAGGCGAGCCCTTCCCAGCGGTTTTCATGTGGTTGACAAAGAGCGAACGCTGGCCTTGGAGGAGGAAGGGCCAATGGCAGCTCAACCCCGCTCTGCGATTCTGGGCGGCTGAGCAATAAAGGCGGCCCCGGAGCTCTGCCCGGGAGCGGGCGGGCTCAGCCTTTGTTCCTGCCTTCAGAAGGAAGGGCACCAAGGAAGGGAGACACAGTGTCTTGGAAACCCCATGGTTTTAGAAAATGCATGATTTGAGGGACTGAGGAGAGAGAGAGCGAATTAGAATATCCTATACTCTATTATATTCAATTGCATATTATCTTCAATTGCAGGGGTTGATAAACTACAGCTCAAAGGCAAACATAGGCCACTGCCTATTTTTCTATTACCCCAAGATAAGAATCACTGAAAAAAATTCAAACGAAATTACATTATGGCCTGTGCAAGTTATATGGCATTCAACGTTCATTTTCAAAGATGAAATACAGAGACCAGCGCTGTGGGGTAGTCGGCTGAGCTTCTTCCTACAGCACCAGCATCCCATACGGGCACTGGTTCGAGTCTCAGCCGCTCCACTTCTGATCCAGCTCTCTGCAATGGCCTGGGAAAGCAGTGGAAGATGGCTCAAGTCCTTGGGCTCCTGTACCCACATGGGAGACCTGGAGGAAGCTCCTGGCTCCTGGCTCCTGGCTCCTGGCTTCAGATTGGCCCAGCTCTGGCTGTTGTGGCCATTTGGGGAAGTGAACCAGTAGATGGAAGACCTTTCTCTCTGACTCTCCCTCTCTCTGTAACTCTACCTTTCAAATAAATAGATAAATAAATAAATAAAACCTAAAAAAAAGATGAAATGCATAAAATCCCATTTCACATCAACATTAATGGATGAATATTTGCAATAGATTTTTATTATAGAAGATACCGTTTAAAATTGTGTTTATCTGAAATAGAGACAGAAACAGAGAAAGCTCTCATCCACTAGTTTACTACCTGGATGCCCACATAGTGGGCACTGGGGAGCTAGGAGCTGGCAACTCCATCCATGTCTCCCATATAAATGGCAGGAGCCCAAGCACTTGAACCATCATGGCTGCCTCCTATGGTCTCCCTCAGCAGGAAGCTGGAGTCATGTACTGGAGGCAGGCATCAAACCCAGGCTCCCTGATCAGGGACACGGGTGTCTTAACCGCAGGGTCAAATGCCCCAGTGGAAGATGCTTTGAACCCCAATTAAGCAGAATAATATTCCTCAGAGAATTATTTCATCCTTTTCATTAGGAGAGCTGCATTATAAAAGCAAACTATACTCATTACATTTTAAACTTCAGCACTAAGAACCTCATAGAAATTTGTATTCTGTCTTGCTTTTTAAGTGCCTCTATATTAGTCTCAATTTTGCCTTTTGCCCACAAAGCCTAAAATGTTTCCTAGCTGATCATTCTCACACACACACACACACACACACACACACACAAAGAAAGAAAAGAAAAGAAAAGAAAAGAAAAAGAAAAAGGGCTGCAGCTAAGTGGCTTATCTGCGATGGCTTCAGCCGTCATACATGTCTGAGGAGAGGAAAGTCTCAGTAGATTCACCCAGTATTCATTTAGTCACCAGACTTTAGGGAGCCCTCTTTGGACCAGGCCCTCAGTATGTCCGACTGGCAGACAAAGCAGATGTGCAGACAGGCCGCTGCCTTTGGGGAGCTGATCCCGAGGCTGGACCACGGACCTAGCCTGCAGGTACGTGTCCATGGGATGATGAGTCAGAGTGGCCCCCCACAGCGTGGGAATTTCATGTGTGTCAGCTTGTCAGTGGGTCACCTTGGGCAGCGCACGGCTGCCCAGAGGCGCTCTGTGTGAGGCGTTGCGGAAGGGCGTAGAAGGAAGCAGGATCAGGTGAGCAGCATGAGACTGGCAGTGGGGAAGCCAAGTCCAGAATGTCAACCAGGACAGGGTGGCCCTCCTGTTGACTCAGGCAGGAGGCCAGGGAGTGAGCCAGGAGCAGCACAGGCGATACAAAACAAGGAGAGTGGCGGCCAGCGCTCAGGCCGTGTTCACATCGCTGCAGAGGGGGCGGCCGAGGCACCGTGGCCTCCCAGGGCTCGAGGCCGCCTGAGCGCAGCAAGGACGCTGGGATTGTCCTCCCACAACGCTGAGGAGTTTCCAGGCTTGGCTCCACTCCTTGAGGAATTTCTCTTTGGCTGCAGCCTTCAGAGGGGTCCACAGTAATTTCCTCCAGTCCCCGCAGAAAATGTGTATGTAGATCCAGCCACAGGCATTGTCTTTTTCACATCCTATAGTTGAGGAAAATGGCACAAATGGGAAACTGAGGCACCCAAGGCTGTTGAAGCCACAACCCTTTTGGTCTGGGGTGGTAGTGGAGAGGGGCTGTTCCACCTTCTGTCTCTAGGTTGGCAGGTGGCAAACCTCACCTTGGCTGTGTAACCTTCTCTCAAAGAGAAAAGCAGCTCATAGAGGCCATCGGTGATGACCCCCATAGGATCCTGGGGCTCCAGGAACAGGGCCAAAGTTGGAAGCAGAGTGCCTCCCCGTGACCTCCATGCAGCTTACCCCAGGCCCCTCTGCTGCCAGAAATCACCCAAGAAGTGGAGCCAGGGCTGGTCATAGATTCATTCCTGCTCTCTGGGTTCCTAAGAGCCCCGATAGGTTCCTGGAAGCTAACCCTATTTTTGCTAATCCTACATCCTGGACACGGCCTTGCAATGTGGAAAGGACATTGGCTCTGGGGCCAAGTGAACCTCTCCTGGAGTCCTGGTTCTGCTATTCTGCAGCAGCTCTGTCGTTTAACCTTGGCAGGTGACACTTGAGTAAACTCATTAAACTTAGTGTAGAGCAGAGGTAATGGCACCTGTTGGAAGGATAAGCAAAGAGGGAAGTCACAGCCCTCTCGTTCACCAATCGAGTGCCCTCCCCAAACATGCATCATTAATGCTCTGGTTTAAATATTTCCAGACTTCTTTCTAGGTTCGCACTAACACAAACATGAATGTATACACATGTGTAAATTTAGAAGCAGAATATAAGTGTACACACTAGCCTGAAACTCACTTTAGTTCTATTCAACAACATGTATACGTCATTTCAAGGCAACGTGAAGTAAAGTATTACTCTTTTACTAACTTCTTAATATTTCCTAACGTGGTAATTGACAAACCTAGTGATGGATATTTAGCTTGTTCAAATGTTTTTTCCATCACAAACCTTGCTGTAATGGACCTGCGTGTTTATACATCTGTGTTAACATTTCTGTAAGAGAGAGTCCTGGAAGTGAGAAGGCTGGGTCAAAAAGTATACACACAACACATTTGAGTGGATTCTACTGAACTGCTTTCCTGCCCAAGTTGTACCCATCTGCAGTGTCTGACAGGACTCACTTCCATGCATCCTTGCAAGCACCGAACTCTGTTAATTTTTAATTTTTTGCATTTCCCTGATAATAAGTCAAACGTCTTTTCATGTTTACTGACCATGTGCCTTCTTGCTCTGAATTCTTCATTTATATCCCTTGCCCATTTTTCTGTTTGCATGTTTGAGCTGTTCTTAACTTGTATGCGCTCTTTGTGCATTAAGCACGGACAGCTGTTGCCAGCGAGAAAAGACCCTGTTCTGAACCACCGAGTCTGAAGCAGGTGTTGCATGCCAGAGGCCTGGGCTCGCCACATAGATGTTGCAAATATTTCCCCAAGTTACCATTCTTCTTTTATTTGATCTGTGCTGTCTTTAGGAGTTTAAAACGTTTCAGTATTCAGATCTGTCATTTTCTCTTCTGGCTTCTTGGTTTCCTGTCTTGCTTAAGCAGCCTCCCATCCTGATATTATGTTGGTAGTCTTTTCTGTTTTCTTGTAATACGTTTATGGTTTCATTTATTTATATGCATGTCTTGAATAGTTCAGCTGATCTGAGTAGAGGCAGAATTCATAGTTCCAGTGTAGCTGATGTGTTTCTGAGGCTTTTTTTCCTCATCTCTCCCCATGCATGAGGGAGACCATCATTTTTTGAGGTGCAGTAGTCAGTGCAGTCCTACTAATGTTCTCATATTTATGAACAATTCCGCGGCTTAACACCCCCTAGTAATACCAGTGTTAATATCGGTGATTTCTTTGTGATGGTGCTGCAGATACTTTTATTTTTCCCCCTTCTCATCTGTAGTTTCTCATTTTTCAACAAAATTGAAGCATATTCTCAGCATGAAAACCAAGAAAACAGGATACAGAGAAATCTAAGGGGCTTTTTTCTGAGTAAAAGAGATAGATGTGGAGTCACTTATCCCACTCTCTAAGGATCTTTTGGGATTTTCTTCCAAGTTTCCTCGTTGACTAGGGCATTATTGCACTAGCCCCACTTCACAGATGAGAAAATTGATGCCTATGAGAGAGGACGACTTGGTCAAGGCCACATGGCAGGTGAGTGACAGAACAAGCACTGAGCCTGGGTGTCTTCCTCAACTCTGGCCCTGTCTGGTTAGGCGTTGGTAAGTGTGGCTCAGGCAGAGCTCACCAGGGCCTCTCCGGGATTTCTTGCTAGACGGGTGGGTCAGCTGGAGACCCTGTCTCTCTGGGAGGATTAGCTGACTCCACTACCCACCTGGATCACTTCTGCTAATGACACAGCCCCCTCTCCCGCCCTCCCCCATCGTCAGAAATAAGAGTCTGGCAAACAGCTGTGTTTACCTCCAGCGACTAGTGTAGGGCTGCTGGGTCCTGGAGGGGATTGTTCAAGCTTATCTTCTCCAGATAGCAATGTGCTGAGGGCTGCACAATCTGCTGACCCAGATTGAAATCAGCTGCAAAACACGAGAGTCCTAAACACACACATACAGCTCCTCAGCCAACTGCAGCCAACGGCGGCTGGGTGGCCCCTCCCCTCCTCAACAGGCCGACTCCATCCCAGAATGCTTAGGGCAAGCCTCCAAGGGGACGCTAGGCACCTGCCTCCTGTCCTACATGCCTCATTCTCATGTTTTCAGTGTAGGAGACAGCCGGGAGAGATTGGTGGGAGAAGAGAGAGAGAGAGAGAGAGAGAGAGAAGCAGACTACAGAAGCTTCAGATCCAGGAACAAAGGGCAGCCTTGGACCACTGCACAATTTTATGCAGATCCTGAGGTCCTTCCTCTGGGCACAAAGCCCTGGTGAAACTGGTGGGAATGTTGTCTGTTTTTAGGCAATCTATAGTTTGGCTGTTCTGGATGGTGGAGGACAAACAGAATGCCCCAGCCCCGGCTCTGACGGGCCCACTGCCTGGTCAGAAGCACCCCATGGCTTCCGATAGTTGGCCCTGTAAAGTCCAAAAGATCTTTGAGACCCTTGAGGGACTGGTTCCAGGTCTACCTTCCTCCTCAGCCTGGCGTCTCTCTGCCTTCAACCCCCACAGTCTTTGATCTGTAACCCTCCTATGCACTTATCACTCCCTGCTGCAGCAGTATTTGCTTTTGAGAGCTTTATCATTCTTACTTCCCCAGTCTGTGTTCCTTGGGGGCCAGGCCCAGGCTTGTTTATCTTTGTACCTCTGAGCCCTGAATGCGATATGCATGTGGGGGTGCTCAGGAACCTTTGTGGCCTTAAACCGGGAACTGTCCCACAGGGCAGAGCTCAGCCTGAGAGGCGGCAAGGCCCCCCAGGTCCCCACTGTGCATGAGCAGGAAGGACACCTTTTGCCCCAACCCGCAGAGAATACATTTCAGCCGGAAACCTCCAGGTCACGTGGTCCAGCGCCTTCGTTTCAGACAGGCTAAGCGCCTGGCTGGGGATGGGAGATGTCACTTGGCTGAAGTCAGGTCGGGGGTGGTGGGGCTGGGGTGTAAACCTAGGTCTGCCTGACTTGGAAGGAGCCCACAGAGTCAGCCCCCGACGTCTCGCTGCTGGCTTCCCAGAAGAGGGCTCTGTCTTGCCAGGCCTGGGAGGGTTTCGGCACGGTGGCAGGCAGTACCTGGCTCCGAGCCACCCCCAGCCCTCTGGCCAGAGACGCTGTTTGAGAACTCTGCCTGCGCGTGGCCTGGAAGCCAGCTTCCCCAGCTGGGTCTTTCCACAGAAGGCCGGTCAGCCAGGTACCAGAACAGCACACGGAGCCTTTGTCCAGGGTGCAGGGTGTTTTCCAGTGTGGGGTTTGTGTTGGCTGTACTGACGGGGCAAGGGAAGTGGAGGCCTCTAGCCCGCTGCCAGCAGGGCTCCACGCCAAGAGGGCAATGGGCAGGAGGGGGGAACGGGCCAGAGGCACCCCACTGGGAACGTGGGAGGAGACGGCCAGGGCGGCAGGGAGGGCACTGGGCTGGGGACCCCTGAGCTCACGCTGGGTTTTGCGTTGCAGAAACAGCTCAGACTCACAGAGCAGTTCCGCCGCCAGCTGTGCCCTCTAGGCTTGTGCGGCTCTGGACAGTTTTTTCCAAGCCTCAGCTTCCTCCTTGGTTGTGTGAGTGGGGGTCATAGCAGTATCTTGGTGGGCACCATGAGGACCAGAGGCATGGCCCGCAGTAGTTGCTCAATAAGTGGTGGAGTCCCTGTGAATTTTTGTAAGCATTCCCACACTTCCCAAATTTACACACTAATGAAAGGTCAGGCTGTGGAGAACACCCAGGCCATGGTGTCAAATGACTGTGGACTGCGAAAAGGAACCAAAATCGCCAGGAGTAGACCCGCGTTGAGAGGAACTCTGGCCCAGAAACAGCTGGGGGCAGACAATCTGTTTTTAGTTAGGGAGCAGCCTGGAAGGTCTGTAAAACTCTCCCAGTGTGGTCGCCGTGTCCTGAGTGTTCTATGCTTAGCCTGGGTATGGGCGTGAGTGCTGCGTAAGTGTGCGGTGGCTGCGACGTCCGTGTGGTGCGCCTGTGGCGTGTGTTATGTGGAGGCCTGTGCTTCCCACCTTTCATAACATTCAGGAGAGGGAGAAGAGAAACAGACGTATTATGTAAATGCGTGATCTCTTTGTCTCTCTTTTCCTATAATGCTCCCAGTGGCTCCCACTCAAAGAGCCCCAGTTGTCCCAGCTGCTCCTGCTGGTGAGTGGCACAGGCCCACCCTGCACCTAGGTCTTCCTGGTGAGAGCAGGCGTTGGTTCCTGAGAGGAGGAAGGCGCACAGGCAGAGGCAGGGTTGTGTTCTCTGATCTTCAGGCAGCTTTGCCTGGGACGTGTCACCCGGATGGCTGCACCCTGCTCTCGCTCCCAGTCCTGCAACTTCCTGCACAGCTTGTTGCCGCTCGGGTTTGACTTTTGTCAGCTCTTCCTTTGAAGGAGGCCTCAAGCCAGTGAAGCGGTCTCAGCGAGGGAAGAAGCAGCTCCGTGGCTCGGGCCTGGCTCCTGGGCCAGCCCAGGACGGTCGGAGCATCAGCCTACACCTTAGTTTGCACATTCTGCTGGGGTCCCTGGAGGTCTCTGGCTTGCTGCCGTTCCTGGGACGCCCCCACAAGCTGCCTCAGTTCCCCTCCTGGCGTGCTCGCCCCATAGTCAGGCCTGAGTCGCCAAGTGCTGCAGGCTGCTGCGTGCAACTCTGTAGACCCGGCCCTGGCGGCCACGCCTCTCTTCGCAGGGCTGCTCCAGGAAGTGAAACTTGCAAGGGCGGCCTCAGACAGGCTCCCCTCCAGGAGACAGACATCTTCCTAAAGCCTTGATTCTTTCACCAGACAGTTATGGACAAGCACGCAGCCTGTGTCTGAGGTCGGAGGCAGAGTTTCTGCACAGTCCGGTGGGGCGCTGACGTGAATACAAGGCGCTGAGCCCGGGGCGGGGGGGGCGGGGGGAGCACGAGAATGGACAGGCATTTCCTGGGCGCGCTGGAGGAAGAAGCTCTGCCCCCGGCCCTGGCCTGGGGAATACTCACAGCACGTGACACAGTATCTTACTGGGGTCTGAAGGATAGGTCAGGGTTTGATAGGTAAAAATAATATCAATAGCAATCACAATGTTCTTATTTACTTACAATAGGAAGGGACTTAAAAAGTTAGTTAGAAATGAAGTTAAAAGATACATTTACTTGGATGCAAAAAAAAATTGAAATCCATGCATACTTTTTTCATAATAGGCACTTTCTGTGACCTTGTTGAAGACCTGTCAGATGTCGGGCATCCTGAGTACTTTGCAAACACGATTTCATGTGATTTAAGCGACCGGCCGGGTGCCACAGTTACTGCAGATATGCCCATTTCACAGGGGAGGAAACTGAGGGCCAGAGAATGGGAAGTAACGTGCTCAGAATGAGGAAGCAGAGCAGGCAGTCATGAAACCCAGTTCTCCTCGCGCCCAGACCGGACTTCTTCAGTCACAAACGACAACGACGTAAAGGGAGATGTGTTGAGAACCTTGCTGCCCTCCTGGTGCCTGGGTGCTTCCCAGGGGCTGTCCCTCCCTGGTCCTTAAAGATGTAAAGTTAAAGCAGTGTCCCATGTGTTCCCAGTGTTTCCTTATGCAAATGTAAACAAGTCTGAACAAATATTCTTGTTTCCCTTCCTCTTAGCCAGAGTAGCAGTAGGAACATTGGCTTAGACTTGTCCATGCGGCTTTGGAGCGCTTTCCATCAGAGCAGGAGTGAACTTCCTCATCATCGTACACAGCCGGCCAGTGCTCCGCTCCTTGAACCTGGACTTTCTTTTTTTTTTTTTTTTATTAAGATTTTTATTTCTTTCTTTATTTGACAGGTAGAGTTACAGACAGTGAGAGAGACAGAGGAGAGGTCTTCCTTCCGTTGGTTCACTCCCCAGATGGCCGCAACGGCCGGAGCTGCGCTGATCCAAAGCCAGGAGCCGGGTGCTGCTTCCTGGTCTCCCATGTGGGTGCAGGGGCCCAAGCATTCGGGCCATCCTCCACTGCTTTCCCAAGCCATAGCAGAGAGCTGGACTGGAAGAGGAACAACCGGGACTAGAACTGGCGCCTATGTGGGATACTAGCGCCGCAGGCGGAGGATTAATCCAGTTCACCACGGCGTCAGCCCCTGAGCCTAGACTTTCAATCACAAGGCACAGATCAGCTGCGAAGACGTCCATGTGCTCTGCTAAGCTCTTTAGATGTCATGAGGCGTCAGGCTGCAAAAGGGTGATGAGACGACTTTGTTTTTTGCAAGAGTCCTTCCTTGAGATAGGAAGCTGCACACAGCGCAGCCAGCGAGATACGCAGCCCTACCTGATAGAGCGCTGCCCCAGTGGTGGCTGGGAAAAAGCCCGTCCATGGAGCAAGTTCCAGCTTATCTCTGGCCTTGTTCCTTGCAGCCTTGGGGCCTCTGCTTTCTCAGACGTCCTCCCCGTGCCCTGCCTACAGAACTTTCATGGAGCTTCCCGTGTCTGGGCTGCAGAAAGCCAGGTAGTCTTACTGCATCACCTGGGGCTACTTCCCCACTGATTGTGCAAGAGCTCCAGCCACTTCACAGGTGGTACTTAAATAGTCCCAGGCCGCTAGTATTTCCTGGGAAAGTTTGCCATCAGGGCTGTGACTGACTCAAAGGCCTTTGAAAAAGAGCTGCAGTCAGCACTCCTTCTCTGAAACAGGGGATTCTCCCAGGGGTTAACAATACCTGTGGGATAGCTCCGGGCCTTTGAAAAGTAGCATTTGCTCTTTAAGGTCAGGAGATCACGCTTGGTAAAACCTTGCTGCCTTCAAAGAGGTTGTCCAGTTTCCAAAAACTAGCCCCATCAAACCCACATGGCCAGGAGTCAGCTGCGTGTGTGTGTTTGCTCAGGTGGATGGCTTTGGGCCTGAAACACGGGTTCGTTACAGTGAGGAGAGCTGAGCTCCCTTTGCAGTATAGGCCCCAGTCTGTTCAAATGCCTCAGCATCAGCCTTTCTGCCAAAGGATTCTTAAGAGAAGGGAGCAGAATCGTTGCATCACACTTCTCCTGGATGAAATCTGCATAATGATGGGGAATGGCATAAGCAGAATGTGAGGCCACCAGCTAGCCAGAAGTCATGCTGCTCACAGCCCTGTCAAGAACCAGGAGGACCTTTTAGATGCTGTATCTTCACAGAAGTCAAATGAGCTAAGGTCACACATCCACTTAGTAGCAGAACTAGGCTTGGAATGCAAGCCTCTTGCCTTCTGGTCCAGATCCCAATCTGCTGAATCGGTGTTTTCCTATGTGAATTCTGTAAGGTGTTAATAGACACCGCATTCTAGACTGCCATGGCCAAGTAAGTTCAGCAAAGATTGGGTTAAAAAATTACACATGTGCTTATGACAGGACTTCTCGGGACCTTTAAACATCACTGTTTGCTGCGATTTTCCAGGAGCTGAGATAGGCAGTGTTCCTGTTTCACTCATCGTAGAACCCTTTTGCAGCTGGGATACGTATTGTGAGAGACGCTGCTTCCGCTCTTAAATAAGTTCAATAATTTTCTAAGGCTGAACTCATGGGTGATGTGGTTCCAGCTTTTGTTTAGGAAATGTTGGGAGCTTTAGTTTATATTTCTGGCCTACTGAGGTGAACATGATGGAAGGTGGCTGCTATCCCTGCCTGGAATGACTGCTGGACTATCCCAAGATGGCACGCAGCGCTTTTCAGGATCACTGCTGTCTTCAACACCATTTAGTTTTGTTTTCTTATTGTGGTTACTTTGAGGGCACTTGGATTCTGCACCTTGTTTGGCCTAGGGAGGAAAGTCTGTTGACATCTTCTGGTGGCACACCCCTCTGAAGGTGGGCCCAAATGTAATAGCATTCTCTATTCTTTAAGTTCTTTGTACAAATCTATTTATTATTTATTATTTGTTTGAAAGACAGAGACAGATAGAGAGGGAAAGGTACTCCATCCATTGGCTCATGCCCCAAATGCCCACAGCACCAAGGGATGGGTCAGGCTGAAACTGAAGCCTGGGATTCAATCCAGGTCTCTCATAGGGGTGGCAGGGACACAGCACTTGGCCATTGCCTGCTTTCTCCCAGGGTGTGCATCAGCAGGGAACTGGAGTCGGAAGCAGAGCTGGGACTCTAGTACTGGCACACTGGTGTGGTGTACGAACGTCCCACATGGTGTCCTGACTTCTGCACCAAATGCCAGACCCTATGTTCTAGAACTTCTTGATCTTTTTTGGGACATGACTCTTTCTGGGTTCGTATAAAAAAAAGTTATGGACCTGTTGTGACATCAAATGCATATTCATAATAAAGCTCATATTAAATTTTAGGGTGTTCTTGTGCCCTTTGAAGCCCATCAATAAATCACTGACCTAGATTCACTGCCCTCCAAAGAGTACTTCCTAAAATCAGCACACAGATACACACATGCGCAACCTAAGGAATGGTGGTAAGCTACCCTGTTGTCAGTTACTTTTTTCTTTCTTTCGAGTTCTTGGTTCTTGGAGGGCGGCTTGTTGCAGGCTAGTTCCTGTTTCCCTGTGGCTTTGTCAATCATGCTGAAGGCCCGCCAATCGTGTTGCTTCAAGTGCAGAGCTTGGGGATTTCCTGGAGCTGTTGTTGAAAAATGCCAGTCCTAGCTTTTTTTTTTTTTTTTTTTTTTAGAAGCTTCCCTTCTAGCTTTTTGGATTAAAAAAAAAAAATAAGAAGAGGGGCAGAAGGACAAGACATATGCAGAGAATCACATGGAAAAAGAGGACAGCTGCAAGCAGTAGGCTGGGCACTACGGCTCTGCCTGTAACTCGCCTGCAGCCAGATGGTTTCCTCTCCCCAGGCCTCAGTTTGGGTTTGTTGTCTGCTATCTGAGCAACTTGGGCTCACCCAGCTGCTAGGACCTTCTTCTGTCTCTGATGGTCCATGCGAGTGTTATAAAAATTTAATAACAAAAAAAGCTCTCTCAGCTTTCCTCTTCTCTAAAAAATATTTGATTCATTTATTTTTATTTGAAAGGCAGAGAGACAGACTTCTTCCATCTGCTAATTCACTCCCCCAGATGCCCACAAAACTGGGGGTGAAGTCAGGAGCCTGGGACTCAGTCTGGATCTCCCATGTGGGCAGCAGGGATCCAAGTACTTAAGCCATCACCTGCTGCCTCCCCGGTATGGGATGTTAGTGTCCTGCCGCTGCACAGAAGCCCTGCCCTGTTTTCCACTCTTTTTTCTTTCCATATTTTTTTTTTGACAGGCAGAGTGGACAGAGAGAGAGACAGAGAGAAAGGTCTTTCTTTTGCTGTTGGTTCACCCTCCAATGGCTGCTGCTGCTGGTGCGCTGCGGCCGGCGCACCGCGCTAATCCAGTGGCAGGAGCCAGGTACTTATCCTGGTCTCCTATGGGGTGCAGGGCCCAAGTACTTGGGCCATCCTCCACTGCACTCCCTGGCCACAGCAGAGAGCTGGCCTGGAAGAGGGGCAACCGGGACAGAATCCGGCACCCCGACCGGGACTAGAACCCGGTGTGCCGGCGCCGCAAGGCAGAGGATTAGCCTAGTGAGCCACGGCGCTGGCCCCTGTTTTCCACTCTTACTTGTTGTTGATTGCATTTCTTTTTGCTCAACAGAAAATAGAGGTTTGATTAGTGAGTGCCATGAACTTCTTTTTGTGAGGTTTCGGGCTAGTCTTGAACCTAACACTTTGTGTATGTCTGCCCCTATCTGGCATGCACCCCTTAAGCATGTCTCCCAGCCTCCCCTGGCTGTGTTTCCTGATAGACCCTCATCACAACCCACGATCATTCATTTCTCTTCTTTTCCAGCCTAAGTCCCTCACCTCTGCCCAAGGCTCTGCGGGCTCCACCCTGCATTCTGGAGGCTAGGGGAAACTGATAGCAGCTATGTGCCCTCAGGGATCCATGGAGAAAAAGGGGTTAATTCTGAAACGTCTGAAGCCTAGCCAAGGAGCTCGTGTTCCAGAAGAATGCAAAGAAAGCCCCCAGAGATACAGCTGGAAGAGCACTTGACCCTGACTCAACACGATTAAATGCAGGGCGTGGCTGTTACAGAACGTACTGGGAAGCAGCGGATCTATAATTGCAAAAGTCTGAGGAGCTGGCCTTTCCACGGGCTGATACTCAGGCCAGGTATAGCAGACGCAGTAAAAGTTACGGGCTTTCTGGGGGAAAGATGTGCTCCTGGAGTTCTTCCGTCCTAACAGAGCTTAGTTCTAAATCCTTAAGGTAGCAGGAGTGACTGGCGCAGGGGAAGGGGGGCAGGGGAAATCGACAAGAGACAGATGCACCCAGAAAAACCCTCAAAATCTGAATTAGGGAAGTAAAACCGTATTAGTCTTTCTCGAAATATCTTGGCAACACTATATTAAAACACTGCGTTTACTTCTTCGTGCTATGCTTCCCACCACTCTGTGCCCCTTTCTCCAGGGAAGAGGCTCTTGAGAATGCCCCAGGAACAGTCTTGATGTCAAACAAACTCTCTCTGGCCCCCTCCATCCTTCTTCCTCATGTCAAGGACCTGGAAATGGATTCCTCTGGAACCAGGAGACTGGGGACCAGAAGGGGTCAGGTACTTGACGCTCATTCGGAGACTTGAGGCTGAGTGGTGGCAGATCCCCGCCCCCCATGTTCTCTACCAGGATGGGGTGTTGATGTGTCGTGTGGCCTTTGAGCTCCTGGCTCTGCTACTGAATTGTGTGGGTTTGGGCCATTCACATACTTTCGCTGTGTCTCTGCCTTTCCACCTGTAAAATGAGGGGTTTGGACTAGGAGGTCCCCTAATCCCTACCATCTGTAAGTCCCATGATTGTCAGTGCCTTGCTCGAGCCTCATTTCCCTCTTGCTTAAAGTGTGGAAAGCCTGTCCATGTACAGGGAAGTGCTGAAGGTGTATGCAGAAGTGCTTAGTAAACCCCATAACAACACCAATGTCCGCGATCATCGTTAATCCAGTTCTCCATGTAGCTTTCTCTTCAAAGCATGTTTCCCATCTTATACCATTTGTGCTAAAGAGCGATTCCTGCCTTACAGAAATTCCGAAAATCCAGGCCTTGGTTTGACAAAAGGAGGCAGGCTGTCAGTTCAGGCAGATGTTGCTGCAAATAACAGAAGCCTCTGAGAGTTCTTTGGAAGGAAGTGGGTTAAGGCCCTACCTTCTGTCCTCAGAACGGCCTCTCTCTCATCTCACTGGAGGGCACCAGGAGTGCTCACTAAGAAACTCAAATATGTTCTCAAATACGGCTTTGCCCAAAGAGCGAAAAGGCCTTGCAGAGTTCCAGGAGCAATAACAGTGATTCGAGATGCTCACGTGTGCCTTTCATCTGCGCATTGCCAAGTAATTTACCCACATTAACGCATTAGCGCTCCTTACCTTACACCCGCCTTCATGCCTGCCCTTGGGATGGAGGAGGCGATGTTCCCTAAGCTTTGCACTCAGAGAAGACCTGTGGGTGATGAGGCACAGGCCCTCTGTCCACACTCCCACACCTTGTGGAATCCTCTCCTGCCACCAGTGGCCAACTCTCTCAACTCTCTCATCTCCTCTCCCCGACTCCTGGGACTCAGGTGCCACCTTAGTACCCTGCCCAGCATCCCAGGCAGTCAGAATTGGAAGGCTCACTAAAAACCTCCTGCGAGGGCAACTCCTTCTTTTCAGTCCAGAAAATTGAAGTGCTCACTTGACTGAGTGGAAAGGTGAAATTCCCAATGCATTAGTAGGAACAAGTCAATGAACTTGTCTTAGGAGGCAAAACGCCCCCGCATCCCAGACCCTAGCAAGCCAGTACTGCTCGCTTCCTTCTAAGCATCTCCGTGGTGCCCAGGGAAGGTGAGAAACATGATGTCTACCTGGTCACACAGCCCAGAGTTTCTGCCGCCTCATCTGAGCAGCTCTCATCCTGGGCTACGGTGCTGACAGTTCCTCTTTGCAGCTCCTGGGATGAGTGGTTCTGAGGGGGGATTTGGAGGTGCAGTGCTGTCATTTCCATCGTTCTGGAGAGAATCGAGAGAATGAGTTAAGGGGAAAGGCTCTCTCCTGTTCTTTCACTTAACAGCTAAATTAACACTAGCCCACAGGTACAGCAAGTCAGCCTGTGAACTTACAAGGAAAATGTTACGCTGAGGCACAGAAGCCTGGGCAGCTCTGGGTTTCCTACCCCAGGGTGGAATAATGCCTTTTGCCAAGAACACAGCTGGATCAACTCTGTGTTTTTCACAGAAAGGGCACACAGTAAATATTTGTGGATTGATTTGGTAGGCAAAATCCTTGGCAGTTGGATACTTTTCCACTTTCAGCTTATTTTTATTCTTTTCTAATGTTGAGCTACACGGCACAGGTGATCCGTGTTCGGATCAGTAGAGCTGGAAGGAGTGCTGGTGACAGCCGCTGGCTGGCATCTGTACTTCCCAAGTTGCTTTCTAAGGAACACTGACTCTGGAGTATCTTAAGAAGAACAAAGTTCTGTGTATAAATAAGTTGGAAAACATTACTAAGTTTGCTGCGTTGGTTCCCCAAGATTCTTAAGGCATATGCCTTATTAGAGATACTAAAAAGCACTGTATCAATTTAGGGTGATTGTTTTCTGATGCTTACAAATATATTGAGAAGAGTTGGGGGCAAATAAATTTTTTTTTAAGATTTATTTATTTATTTGAAAGTCTGAGTTACACAGAGAGAGGAGAGGCAGAGAGAGAGAGAGAGAGGTCTTTCATCCACTGGTTCACTCCTCAATTGGCCACAATGGCCAGAACTGCGCCGATCTGAAACCAGGAGCCAGGAGCTTCTTCTGGGTCTCCCACGCAGGTGCAGAGTCCCAAGGACTTGGGCCATCTTCTACTGCTTTCCCAGGCCATAGCAGAGAGCTGGATTGGAAGTTTAGCAGCCAGGACTTGAACTGGCACCCATATGGGATACCGGTGCTTCAGGCCAGGGCATTAACCTGCTGCGCCACAGCGCCGGCCCCAGAAAGTTTTAATCTTGTTGAAATAATGTTCTCTCCAACAGGATTTGATCATGAAAAAAAAAAATCCTTCCTCCATTTTCACATGCTATCTATTAAAGATCAACAAAATTTGTGGTCTTTGGAAAGTAACGTTGAGAACTACTGATTGCACTCTATTTCTGAATTTTATTGGTGAAGAAACAGAGGCCTGTTTTTGCAGGAAATTAATGGGGGCCCAGGAGTAGAACCCAATTCCTGTCTCCAGCTGGTCAACCACACCCTACCATGCAGAATTTTCTGGGAGGCGTGTCCTGGGATGCCAGCCATCGTGAGTAGTGTTTGAGACGATGGGCAAAAAGAATGTGGATATTTTATTCTCGGTGCATCCTTCTGGAGGTAATTTGCACAATGCAGGAATTGTTTTAGACGTTCTGTAAAAATAGTATCCATGCCCCATTCTTTGCTATTTCACAGATCTTGGGATGCATGCCAATGTCTGGTTATGCCACAGGTGCTTAATAACTATGTTAAATGAGTGAGTAGATGAAAGGCAGAGGTGAAGCAGAAATGGGCCAGGAGTGAGAACAGGAAAAACACGGAGAAAGAGAGGACTGAACAACAACAACAACAAAAGGAGCCAGCGGTCACTGATGAACCGAGAGGACGGAGAGACTGGAAATGAGACAGCTGCATACGATGGGAAAATCCACACCACCTAGCAGCCGGGAAGCTGTGATCTGAACACGTGGGCATGACTCCCGGGGCTAATTCAGAGGCTAGCCACAGACGGGCATGCCCCCAACTTCCCAGAGCTTCGTGACCCCGTATCAGGGTGTGTTTATTGCGTGGGTATAATGAAGTACAAGGCATCCTCTTCAGCAGTGCCACAGCAGAGTCAGACCTAGGTGCTCGGGTCACGCCGTCAGCGCCTCTGGAGGGGTCCCAAGCCATGCCCTGAGGAATCGAGGGGAAGCAGGTCACCGCAAGTCCCGGGCTGGAGAAGCGCTGTGAGGGACCCTGAGGCAGGGGTGGGATCCCACCAGGCAGGCAGAGGGAGAGAGCATTTCAAGGTGACTTGGTAAAGAAGCATGCGGAACAGCGAGTGGCCCACGGAGGGTCCCGCAAACGGGGTGTATGGACCGGGAGGGGTGCAAACCTGGGCTGCAGACAGTGGAGGGAACAGTGGAGATCTGATTCCCAGGCGCGTGGCTGGCAGCAGGGGCAGAAGTCTGCTTGTGGGGGAGAAGGTAGTTCGGTCCTGGCCAGAAGTGACCATTCGGGTGATGTTCAGCAGACAACAGGAAAACCCGGCCCGAGAGAGTGGCTGAGTCCAGCCGGCCCACGGGGCTGGTCATTGCCGCAGGGGACAACGACCAGGAAAGAGAGAGAGGAAAAGGCCAGCCAAGGAGGACGGAGCCAGGAGGAAAAGTCACAGGCACGGGTGGGGGCGGGGGCGTGGGGGCAGATGTTACAGCCACGGTTGAGAACCCCGGTCTTGGAATCCGAAACGTGTGCGTTTGAACCCCGGTGGCCTGGCTGGTCACGGTTAGCAGCGGACTTCAGAGAGTTTTAAAGTTTCCTGGTCTGTGAAATGGGGATGATTTCTATCTTAAAGGGCTGAGGGCTCTCGCAGAGAGAAAAACGTCTTCGTGCGGGGCCTGCAGACATTAGGCGCCTTCGCGCCCAGCAGAAGGAACTGGAGGGGTTGAGGGGAGTCCCCCGAGGGGCGCCCCCGACTCGGAAGCTGCGACCCTCTGCAAGCCTCTCGCCTCGAGAAACGGAAAGGCCAATCGGGCCGAGGCAGCCGCCCGCCAGAGCCCACGCCCCGCAGTCCCACCCCGCCGCGCCACCCAACAGCCCGCAGCCGCTTTCCGCTCCCTTCCCACCCCAGGCAGCCCCCCAGCCCCCACCGCCCCGGAGCCCCAGGCGCGTGCGCCCTCCCGCGCCCCTCCCCAACTTTCCACGTTTCACTTCCCTGCCTTTTCCTCCCCGGCTCCAGCTCCGCCGCCGCCATTGGCCAGCCGACGTCCTGCTCTCGACCAATCAACGCCGCCCTCTCGCCCCCGTGTTACTGGGTAGAACAAAACAAAAACAGAGCGAGAGGGACCAGAGACGCTCTGAGGCGGCGGCGGAGGCGAGGAGTGGGGTCTCGGCCAGCGGACCGGGGACTGGACGAGCACCGGCGGGGGCCCGAGGGGTCAGTACCGGTGGGCGCGGCCCGCTCGCTCGGGAAGGCTGCGCCGTCTCCCCGCGCCTGCTCTCGCCCTGGAGGCAGCCGCACGTTGGGAGGGGGAGGGGGCGTGGAGGCGGGGGGCCGACGCGGTGGGGGTCCCGGCCCCTCTCCGAAGCCCCGCAGGCCCCGCCGCGCCCGTCCCAACGCCGCGGCCTGCGGCGAGCCGGCCCGGGTTCCCCCCTCCAGGGCCTAGCCCGGTGCGCGGCGGCGCGGGCCCGCCCCCCTCGCAGACCCCCCTGAGCCCCCTCCCAGCTTGGTGGGGCGCGCGGGGCGCTCCCTGGCGGGGGGCGCCCCTCACCGCCTCGCCCCGGCGGCGAGGGCGTGGGGAGCGTGTTAGTGGCGGGACGGAGTCTGGAGAGAGGGAGGGTTGCGCCCTCCCCGCTCCACCCCCGGCCAGAAGTTTCCAGACCCGGACCCTCCGCGGTGCCCCCCAGCGGGCGGCCGGGGCCGGGGGCTCCGGGGGGCTCCGGGGGCCGGGGTCTGCGGCGGCTGCGCGGACACGTGCCGTTTAGTTGGCGTAGAATACCGCGCCCCCGAGGAAACAGACGGGGAGGGAGGGCCGTTTCTGTGCGAGGCGAGCTGCGGGGGCTGCCGGGGGTCGTCGGGGGCCCCCCCCAGAGCCCCACGACTCCGAGCGGACGCCGGCGGCGCCCCTGGGGCTCCCCGCGGCCCCGAGGGAGCCGGCTGCGTAGCAGCGATGCGTGCTCTGCGGACGGTTAAATCGCTGAAAACGCAGCGAGGGGTGCGGGTGTGTATCGGAGCTGTAGCCGCCCGTCTGTTTTTTTTTAAACCGGGACTGTAGGACTTGGTGTGTTAGAGACCCCTGCAGAGGTCTTCTGAATTTGCTGGCCGGCGGTAGCGCCCTTCCTCTGCCGAATTCCTTTTTATCTCCGCCCACATTTTTCATTTACAGTGTGATTGATTTTTCTGTTAGTATTGTTGAAAAATAGTTATTAGCAGGCCAAAAATAAACGCCACTTGGACGTTTTGTGCAGTGCTTGCTTCTGCATTATTATGGTGGAACGTGTTTTGCTGACTTTAAGTTGTTTAATTAGGGGGGATTGTAGCCCAGAAATGAATATATGTAATTTTCCAGTTAAGAGGTGGTCTAAACTTGACTCCCCTAAATACCAGAGTGATTTGAGGTCGGGAAATAGATTTGGGGGGAGGGGAGGCTCTTTTAGAGAGCGTCTTGGCAGTTGGATACTTCTGTGTGTTTCTGTGTTTAATTTCAGCCTTTTTGGAATTTGTGTCTAGTTTTTTCTTTGCATATTAACTTATAGGTTAGCATGAAGGAAATGGGGCTTAACTTTTTGCTTTGCATTTTAAGGATTATTATAAATACATTGGGGAAATAAACCTACTTGAACTTCTATTTTTACTTACTTGAAAGGCAGAGACAGAGATAAGCCGAGATCCGCTGTCTGCAGATTCACTCCCCACATGCCCACAACAGCTGGGAATAGGCCTGGGACCCAGAACTCCATCCAGGTCTCCCACGTGGGTGGTAGGGACCCAACCGTTTGCGCCATCACCTGCTACCTCCTAGGATGGCCATTAGCAGGAAGATGGAATTGGGAACCGGAACAGGACGGAAACTCACACTGATGTGGGATGTGGGTGTCTTAACTGCTCTGCCAAGAGCTTCCCCCATACTACTGTGAAGTAAAATGAAAACACGGAACATATTTTTATCTCTTCAAACTCAGAACGGCTTTTTTGCTATCGCATATGGCTGAGTTCTCGATTGCAGTTACCACTGCCTAAAGACACGGGACTATTTTTTGTTAGGATTGTTTAAAACAAACTTAGTAAGTTATAGATGATAGTTTTCTTTGCCTAACTGAATGTCTTCAGTATAGTAGTTTTAAAATAATTACAATTCTAGTGTTTGGAAAGCAGCATTTAAAAATCTGATGTAACAGAAGTGTTTTAACAAGCTTCTCTCGGTTAACCCTACTAAAGAATCTTCTTGTGAGATATAAAGGCTTGCATTGAACTTGTGCTGGACTGTAAAGGCCTGGGTTCTAGTCTTCCATCTTCCACTGAGCAGCTGTGGGCAGATAACCTGCCCTCTCTGAATCTGGTTGTGTGTGAAGTGGAATCCCCACCTCAAGATCATCCTGCAAACTGCATGAAATAATGCATGTCAGCATTTTTTGATTTTATAAAGGGCATTAAGACATTTATAATTTCATTTCTCTTTTTAGCTAACTTCTGTAGAATATTCTCTGATAGGTGCATCAAGGATGAAAAAGACTTTCATGTAACTCTAGTTTTAAAAAAACTCATATGGCATCTCTTTTGTGTAACATAAGTTATTCATGCACTGAAATAAAACAGAATGTGGCATTGTCAGCCATGAAGGATACATGTTTAGGTTTGAAAACTTTTTGTTCATCTATCTGTATTAATCTCTATGCATATTTTAAAAGATTTTTCCCCTAAATCTAGAGTTAATTGGAATTATAATACTGAAAAGTGATTAGATAGAACTACGTATGTCTATTCATAGAATTAGAGTGATCTCACCATTTTATTAACTTTTGAAGCCACATAATAGCATTTTTGTTTTGCAAAGATTATGGAGTGTTAAGCTTAATAATTGTAGCATAAGGTAGATATAATTTTTGTTTCACAAAATGACACCATTACTGGGGAAAAGAACCATAAACTTAAAAGGTCTTAATAAATAGTAGTGTATACTGAGGAGTTTTAGCAACAGTTTCATCGTCTTTTTTTTTTTTTTTTTTTTGACAGGCAGAGTGGACAGTGAGAGAGAGAGACAGAGAGAAAGGTCTTCCTTTGCCGTTGGTTCACCCTCCGATGGCCGCCGCGGCTGGCGCGCTGCGGCCGGCACACCGCGCTGATCCGATGGCAGGAGCCAGGAGCCAGGTGCTTTTCCTGGTCTCCCATGGGGTGCAGGGCCCAAGCACCTGGGCCATCCTCCACTGCACTCCCTGGCCACAGCAGAGAGCTGGCCTGGAAGAGGGGCAACCGGGACAGAATCCGGCGCCCCAACCGGGACTAGAACCCGGTGTGCCGGCGCCGCTAGGCGGAGGATTAGCCTAGTGAGCCGCGGCGCCGGCCTAGTTTCATCGTCTTTGAGTCCCATGAGGCATCATGTATCATGTCAACCTAAAATGACATGTAACAGATGGTGTTGTATAAAAGTGGTTTTCATAATTGTCTAGGTATTTTCATTAATTTGTTTATTTTATACCTCAAAAAGAAGAGCACTCTGCTAGCAAAATGATTGTAAGTGGAGGGGCCCACGTCCAGCCTCTCTTACTTACACACATAAACCCTTACGTACCATGAACTACCATTTAATAGAGATTGACAGTTTACTTGGTGTTGCCTTCTGATAATTTAAAATACATTCCTATGAAAACTATTTTTGTGGTCTTTCTTTCAAGTAACATTGAAGCTATATCACTCAGTTAATTATCTAAAAATTAACATTGCATTGAAGCCTTCCAGCATTGATAATTTTAGAGCCATTTTGAAACTGATATCTAAAATGCTGAAATGTTTGTCATTGTGCTTAGTCTTTCGTAAACTAGGCCAGACTATTTTTTTAATAAAAAATAGATTTCTTGTATTATAAAATAATATGCTCATTATAGAAAAAGTGGGTTTTATAATTTTTCTCATTCTCAGTCTTAACAGCAATTGGAGTTAAGTACGGAAATGGTAGATATATTTGCCTTCAGATAGACTTCAGTATGAAAGTAAGGCATTTGATGGTCCTGATTTGCTAAAACTGTATTTTGGAGTTCTCGTTACCCCTTGATAGAGCACTGTTCAGCACTTATGTTCTTATAAATGTAATCAGATTAATTTTGAGGCTTGGTGATTGCTATAAGATTTTGAGAGAGTGTTTATGTGTTTGCATGTGTACTCATCTTTTTAACTCGAAGTAAACATATAGCTACTATTTTTAAAATTTCAAGTTAAAAAGATGCTTTTGGCACATGCTGAAATCTGAAGTTTTTTGATCAGATAAAGTGAGAGCAGTAGAAGCAAAAGTGCATTAGGGTAAGCTATCTTAGAAACCCTTAAAAATGAAATTTTTTAATGTGTTCTTATGTAGATTGAAATTACCTTAATTCTGTTAGTTTACATGTTTTTTGTTTCTTTTTTTAAAAAACAGATCCCAAAGGAAGACTTTCATTTGGTAATTTGTTTAATCAGTGCAAGTGAAATTAAGGAACAATGGATGTAGAAAATGAGCAGATACTAAATGTAAACCCCACAGGTAAGTAATAGTATCTTGAACCTAGACTGCCTTGTGAATCATCTTCAGGCCATTGCATATTTTTTGAAATCATGATAGTAAAATTGTCTTTATTTCAAAGGGACAGAGACAGAGACACTCAGGGGGACAGCTGTTCCCTCTTCTAGTGCATTCCCCAAGTGCCTGCAGTAGCTGGGATTGGGCTAGGCTGAAGCCAGGAGCCTGGAACTCGATTACACGTGATTATCATAAACGCCAACATGGTTTTGTGGAATAGAGGACCAAATGTTGCATAACAAGATAAATTAAAATGGGGGGCTGGTGTTGTGGTACAGTGGGATACACCACCACCTGTGACACCAGCATCCCATATGGGTGCTAGTTTGAGTCCCAGCTGCTCCACTTCTGATCTAGCTCCCTGCTAATGCGCCTGGAAAGCAGTGCATGATGGCCCAAGTGACTGGGCTCCTGCACCCACTTGGGAGACTTGGAGGAAGCTCTAGGCTTCTGGCTTCAGCCTGGCAGAGCCCTGTCCATATGGAGAGTGAACCAGTGGATGGAAGATCTCTGTCTTTCCCTCTCTCTCTCTGTAACTCTTTTAAATAAGTAAATTTTTAAAAAGATTTTATTTATTTGAAAGTTGAGAGTTACACAGATAGAGGAGAGGCAGTCAGAGAGAAAGAGAGAGAAAAAAAAGGTCTTCCATCTGATGGTTCACTCCCCAATTGGCTGCTGTGACCGGAGCTGCGCCGATCCGAAGCCAGGAGCCAGGAGCTTCTTCCGGGTCTTCCATGCAGGTGCAGGGGCCCTAGCACTTGGGCTAGCCTCCACTGCTTTCCCAGGCCACAGCAGAGAGCTGGATTGGAAGTGGAGCAGCCAGGTCTCGAACTGGCGCCCATATAGGATGCTGGCACCT